AAATGATTTATCATAAATTAAATAAATAACTATAAAAGTATAAAGTGTAAATATTAAAAATATTTTTCATAGTATATATATATATAATATATAATAATATAATTAAAAATGTAAAAAAATAAGTTTTAAATATTGATATATGTGAGAATGAAGCTAACAGCTACGGGTACATTTAGCAATATAAGAGGCTGTTTGGCGGTTGCTGAATGGTTTGGTGCAGAATGGTTAAGTGGTCAGAATGATCAAGAGGGTCAGAATGGTTAAGTACTGAATGAAATATGGTTGTTTGGTAAATATTCTCTGAATGACAACAAATTACTATTTTACCCCTCTATATGATTTAATCCAAACCAAGGTTCTGTTAGCATCCAAAATGAACGGCGACGGTAGTTTCAATCCGTCAGAATGATCGGTGATGATTTCATACAGAAAATGAACGGCGACGGTAGTTTCGATCGGCGACAGTGCTTCTTTAATGTTTTTAGCCTTGATTCAACATAAGATTTCATACAAGAAATTAGGGCTTCGATCGGTGACTGTGGTTTCAATCGGTGACTGTGGTTTCGATCGGCGATGATTTCATACCGAAAATGAACGGCGACGGTGGTTTCGATCGGCGACTGTGGTTTCGATCGGTGGTTTCGACCAGAAAATGAACGGCGACTGTGGAGACGGCGACTGTGGAGACGAAGACGATGGAGGCGGAGACGATGAAGACGATGGAGACGGCGACGATGGAGACGGGGACGGAGATGGTGGAAGGACGGAGGCGACACAGCAGCGGGCAAAAATGGATCGATCGATTGGAAGGAGGAGAGGAGACGAGACGAGACGAGATCGATTGGAAGGAGGCGACACAGCAGAGGGCAAAAATGTCACCAGATCCCTCTGAATCGTTGAGGGGAGCCCTAGCCCCTAAATGGTTAAGAGGCTTTTGTCACTATTAAGAGGTCCTTTTTTTTTTGCCAAACAACTCTAGCCTCTTAACGATTAAGAGGTGTCCTCTTAATGTCACCATTAAGAGGCAACCAAACAGCCCCTAAGAGTAAGGAAAAACCAAAACAAAATATTGTAGGTTTGATGCATCTAACAAAGATTTGGTAGTTTATAAAATCACATTTGGAAAAGAACAAGAACAACTCAAAAAGTGATGCCATCTCTATGTAACAAAGACTTTGGTTTAACCTATATAACCAAAGCCTATATATATACTTAAAATATAATACATTTTGTTTTTATTTTATATTATAATTCTTAATAATGTGAAAAATTATCACAGCAATCGAAGCTGAAAACCAGCTTTCAGATAAATGAGTATAATATTAAGAATTTTGAGCATTTGTTATATTATCTGTAACATTTGTTGCAAGTTAAGATTACATGTTCTTTATAAATCTTAATTATGGGTTATTATAAAGCATCTCTGATGGATTTTTTATAATTTCTCTAAAATAAAAAAACAAAAGCTAAAATCTCTAAAAAATTACATTTAGTTCCAACAAATTCTTTTATTTTAGTAGATTTAAATATTATTTATATTTATTGAAATATTCTATAAATTTATCATTTCAATACATTTAAAAAAAAAAACTTTATACATAAGAATAATACATTTAATCTCATTAGTAGAAAACACTTAAAATATTATTTCTCTCTTCTCAATATTGAGTTTTAAATAATTCTCTAAATTTACATATTTCTCTTTTGTTTTGTTTATGTTAAATTATCCTTCAGAGTAAATGAATTTCAAATTCTTTATTTTAGAGTATTTATTAAAAATATGGCTGTTTACTAAACGTTTACACGAGTAAGTTAACATCAAGTCACGTTACCTTACCGGATGAATAGGTAATGATCAAGAAATCTTATCCGGTAAGAACGAGACAATGACCAAGAATCTTACCCGATAAGTGAGAACGACGACTCTTACCACGGTAAGCGCTTACCGGGTAAATTGTTGCATATGATACTGTTTTAGTGGAATAAAATCTTATTCGGTGAGTAAATGATAGTGTTATATTTTACCTATAAACGTTTACCAGGTAAGTGTTTGATAAACGGCCCCTTAGTAATTCTTTTACTATGGTTTTAAGTTAAATTCAAAGTTGCTTTGAATTTGGGTTGTTATAAATGGTAACAAATCTCAAAAATGCTGAAATAGAGAGGAAATATTACTTTTGAAAAGTGGTTCCATTTACGATCCGGATTTTATCCAAAGTAAATTTTGTATAACCTTATGGCTTTTTCCCATAGGTTGGCCAGTACGAGTCTCCTCATTGTAACCAGGGATTTTCCTTTTCCCGGTTACCAAAAAAAAAAGATAGCTCTTCCCGATCTATCGTTAATGTGTGTCCCAATGGAAACTCGTAGTCGGTCAATGGTATGATAAGTAGGTCGATCATCAACATTCGAGTAGTCTGTAACTACGTTCGAGCGTTGTTTATCATGACAATCGAAAAGGGGATCTTTTCGCCTTTTTACTTCCTTTTCTTCAATGATTTGACGAAATGGTCAACCTTCGCCTCCGGCTTTTCCTTTTTCATCAACAGTCCGATAGAAATGTCAACCTTCGCCTTCGGCTTTCAACGGTTTGATTGAAAAGTCGACCTTTGGTTTTTGTCTTCGCCTTTTCAGCTTTTTCACTTCCGTTACTTCAGTGGCTTGACGGAGAGGTCAGCCGTCTGTTTTCGTCTTCACCTTCGGCTTTTTGCCTGCATTTCCTCAACGATATTCACAGAGTAATAACCACATACCCCACCCCAATCACTATAATAACCACATGACAACCCCACCCCAATCACTATATATCCAACGTCCCCTAATTCAGTTTCTTTCAAACCAGGTGCCATTATAAGCATACAAAAAGACCATAGCTAAAATGAAGCAATCTCCAATTATCTTTCCCATTCTCTTTTGTATACTTATTACCTTGTTCTTATCATCCACGGAAGCTCAATCCTGCAATTCCAATGAGAAGTTGGCAGGCAAAAACTCGCTTCTAGGACGTCTGAATGATTCAGACCGTTGCAAAAACGGCAAGTTTTCCGTCGCATCCAAAGGGTCGCCGCTTGTCGTTGGCAATACAAATTCGATTATGACGATTAACAGCTTCGAGAAGGGCGGGGATGGTGGTCAGCCATCGGAGTGTGACGGAAAGTACCACTCGGATGACACTCTAATCGTGGCGTTGTCCAGCAAGTGGTATAATCATGGGCAAAGGTGTTTTAAGTTGATCAATATATATTATAACGATAAAAGCATGCAAGCTACGGTGGTTGATGAATGCGACTCGAATAAGGGGTGCCGTGATGACATTGTGGATGCATCTAAAGCCGTTTGGAAGGCACTTSAGGTTCCGAAAGATGAATTTGGGGAAACCACAGTTACGTGGTCAGACGCATGATGCCGTTCAAGAGAACGCATATAAAAACCAGTAGATCTTATAGTAGATCTGATGCAGAGGTAGGGTCTGGAAGTAGGATGTACCAGACACCGTTCTCATTATATTTGTTGTTTTTATTATATTTCCTATTGTAATCAATAAGTAACCAGCAACAAAAATAAGAATCATAAAGCTAACTTTTACCAAACCAAATGAACTCAATAAATCCCGCACGATTGGGTTGGGAAGGTTAGGATGTACATTGACCTTAGAGATGTGATGCAGCGTATAATAATGAATAAAAAGATTAAACCCGTTGATTCTACAATTTAGAGGATAATCTCTTCTAAAGTTCGTTGATTCAATGAATACACTCAAATTTTGGGAAGAAAATGGAAGTTTTTGATTTCAAATGACCATCCAAATTATATCTAGAACAATCAAAACGAAATGAGTCTGGAAAAGAATATGGGCCTATCATAAAAGCCGAAACGAAAAATTAAAAACATAAGAAAAAACATAGAAGTATCCAGAAACATGTTCGAACAACCGTTTTTAGGCCTCAAAAATCTCGTAGGCCCCTTTGGGTTCTACACAGGGTGTGCTCCCCGTTCCAAGCTTCTAATTGACGTATTATGGGCCTGAAATGGAGTTCCGTAGCAAAAAAAATATGGTTGTTTAAGTGGGACGCCAAACAATAACAATAAGGCCTGACCAAGGCCCGCATCAGGATGTTAAAGATTCCAGCCTTTTAAATCAATGACCTTCTAACAAGTGTTTTTTAAAATCCATGACTTTCTGACATGTTTATAAGCATTCTTAGTATGGAAGTGGCATTCTCAAACCTATCAGAAGGTTAAAGATTTTAAGAAAACCTTGTGAATACCATGAGAATCCCAAGGAATCCCTAATTTTATTGTGGTTCAAATCCTAATTGAAGATCAACAGTAATGAGATGCACCGAGATTAAAAGTGATCAAGGGTCAAGATCCCTTCGCTTCTCGCCTTAACTCCTATTCTCACACGATCCTTCATTTTTAGGTATATAACCTTAAATGAGATGTCAATTAAATTTGTGACCTTCTGATGAGTATGAAGTCTGAGGTCATGGATTTAATTAAAATCGTATTTAAGGTTATATACCTAAATGACCAGTTAAGTCACCGAGTTCAAATCCCTCTACCTTTCGCGTGGGATAATTCCATGTATAAGAGGCACACAAGAAGAATTCCATTAGAGGGAAAGAGAACCAACTAATATGTCCAACACTTGCACCAAATCTTATCTATTTTGAACTGAGATTATGGTTTCAGAAAAAGAAAAAACAATCAAATTCGAATTTGACTTTGCAGAAAAGCAATTTCATGTGACGTAAAACGTTGTTTTGAGTAGAAGAAATAGGAAGAAAAAAACATCACCTATAAACGATGCATATTCGCATAACGAGCTTCGAGGTTGTGTTTCTTGGAGGTGGATTATGGCACTGATCCTATATCCTTGAAGTACTCATGCGCTAATGCAGCCCTTGCTGTAATTCTTTTGCAGGGGTCCAAATTGAGCATTTTCTGAAACAAAATGCCCGTACAAAATTTGAAACAAGACTTCCGTTGCATATAAACGAAAAAGAACATACGATCACACCCTACACAGCTTGTCAAATGCATTTTCACCATATGGGAACATGGTTTTCAAAATCGTCTGAAGCTTGCGCCTTTAGTCTGATATATATATATATATATATATATATATATATAAATATATATATATATATATATAAATAAACGTGTACATATATTTTGTGCTTAGCACTCCGGTGTGTATATATATATTGCATATATATTTTTATGTATAAGGTTGCAGTATATTGTGTATAATGTATATATGTGTGTGCAGACGAAGGATAATATGAGAACGGAAGTGATGGTGAGAAACGTAAGAAGAGATCTGAACCCTTGATCACTTTTAATCTCATGTCCACCAATGAATTGCACTTTAGTAGGGAGTTGATTTGGTGTATCTCAATGCACCTCATTAGTGTTGACATTCAACTATGATTCATCCAAGGGTGAAGATATCGTCTTACTCTTCTCATCATAGCTTCCCTTCTCACCGGAATCCAACCTTGTCTGTACACATATATGTATGTGTGTGTGTGTACAGATATTTCCGCCTCGGGGATTACGCCTCGCCTCATTGAGGGAAAACGCCTCGAGGCCCAATTCCGCCTTTTAAAACCTTGATGGAAAAACAACACAAGATAGAGAATACAAAAGATAACCGATGTACTTAACACTAAAGCAGCAGGAGAACTTAGGGTATGTTTGGTACACGGACGGGACTAGACGGACGAGAGTGAGGTAGATGGGTGAAATAATTGTGGAAGGTTTTAGGGTTTAAATTTGACATGAGTAGTTTAGTAATTTATCAGTCTTTTCGTGTCCCGGTCTAATGTCGTGCCAAGACTTCGATTGCATATAACCAAAAGAACATACAATCACGCCCTACATGGCTTATCAAGTGAGTTTTCACCATAGGGAGAAAACAATACAAGATAGAGAATACAAAAGAAAATTGATGTACCCGACACTAAAGCAACAGAAGAATTTAGGGTGCGTTTGGTATACAGTCGGGAGGGACTGGACGGGCAAGGGTGAGGTATATAAACGGGTGAAATAATTGTGGAAGGTTTTAGGGTTTTAATTTGACATGGGTAGTTTCGTAATTTAGAAATCTTGTCCTATCCGGGTCTAATGTCATGCCAAGACTTCCATTGCGTATAAACAAAGAACAGTCCGCCCTACACGGATTGTCAAGTGAGTTTTCACCGTAGGGATAAAGCAATACAAGATAGAGAATACACAAGAAAATTGATGTACGGTGTACCTAACACTAAAGCAGTGGGAGAACTTAAGGTGCTTTCAGTATGCAGACTGGATTGGAACTGGATTAGGCATATGAGAGTGAGGTAGGAGGGTGAACGAATTCTGGAAGGTTCTAGGGTTTTAATGACATGGGTAGTTTAGTAATTTATCAATTTTGTCTCACTCAGTCCTGTTATGACCATCTAATGTCGCATCACACGTGAGAACAAGTTTTTGTTCGGTCCTTCCGTATCAAACGCACCTTTATAGACTCCAACGTTAGATGTAATCCTATTAGCACTTCGACCCAACAAGACCCCTGCTGCTTTGACCGGAGCTTTGCTCCCAAATTGATGGAAGAGTCTCTAATGTAGGACTGTGCAACCAAATAAATAGGGATTGTCCAATTGAGTTAGGATTCTCAGGAACTTCAATACGATGTGTGGACACTTGGTCAAAGAGAACTCATTCATCTCCATAGTACAGAAAACATGTTCCCTTGACCAACTGTCTTCCCCCGACTCAGTTCTGCTCAATTTTGGTATGTCAAACGGAAGTAGTATTGGTGATATGAAGGTTGATTGCCTTCTGGTGTATCGGGTCTTAATTCAAATTTAGAACAAGAAGATTCTCTTCTCAATAGTTTTCTTGCATAAGTATTGCTATTGTGCAGATGATTCGCAAACAGGCTGGGTGCGGTTGCCAATTAGTTTAAATACCTGAATATATCTATTTATTCTTTTTTCAACGGGTAGACTTCCTAAACGGCATTTATATTTCAGTGATGATCGTATCTAATGATGTTGGGAAGCAAAAAACCTTTAAAGAACATAATATGCATCCGTATCAATAATTCACCAATAAATGAGCACTCGTTAATTTAAGTAGTAATTAGTTTGAGCTTACATGCAGGAGATCAAGGCCGGCTTTGTCAAGGTTTGGAACCATGGTTGCAAGGTCCTGAAAGTAAAGGATTTCTCCATTAGTTCTTTAAGAGCACAGGTGCTAAACATCACAGATTATAATGTATCAACTGCATAAACTAATCACCTGTGGAGGCCACTTTGGAAAAGTGGACTTGTAGTCGGGCAGAGAAGTCACTCCAGGCCATGTATCTTCTTTAGGAGTTCCCATTATTCTATAATGAAAGAAAGAACAAGAAGATCCTCAAATATAATAAGTTGTAGGATAACACTAAAGTTTAGACAAAGCCATGCCATATTCAGATAATATCTTCAAATGATATATATATATATATATATATATATATATATATCGGGTCAGTTCAAGGGAAAACCGCAAAAAAATGAAAAACTGATAAACATCCTTGTAACCATTCATCTGGACGGTATGCACATGTGCATACCCTAAGCAATTTGTCCGGTATGCAAATATGCATACATGCAGAAAAACCAGAAAACAGCTTCAATTACTCGTATGCACATGTGCATACCATCCAAGATGAATTATTACTAGGGTGTTCCTTAGTTTTTCATTTTTTGGGGGTTTTCCCCTGAACTTCCCTCTGTATATATATAGTATATATATTCAGATAACATCTTCAAATAATATATATTAAAAGATGAAATCAAATATAATGAACATATTACTTGAAAATCTTGAACAACTCATCAATCTCAGAGTCTCCAGGAAAGAGTGGACATCGATTCACCATCTCAGCAAATATACAACCAATCGACCACACATCAACTGGAGTCGAATACTGATGGGATCCAAGAAGAATTTCTGGTGCCCTATACCAGAGTGTCACCACCTAGAAAAGCATACCCTGATTAAGTAACATGTACAGCAATGGCAGTAAGTTTAATCACACATGCTGCTCAGGTATAAATGCGACCCAGGTGCTGGTAATCTAATTTCCATCCATGGGTGTTGGTGATTTTAGTGTCACCAGGCCATTTAAGTGTAATTGGAAGTAACAACGAGTTCTAATGGGGTTTTATAATGTGTTCTAATACAAGTCAGGAGATGCGGAGTGCACACTTGTTATAAGAGTATGACCCCGGACACGACGAAATGGTGGGGGTCAAGGGACAGCGCCCCTTGCGGGGTCCAAATCGGAATTTTGGACTTAGAATGTAGTGGAAAACTTGATCAGAAAGACCAAAGAGGCTCCTGGTTGATTAAGGACCAGAGGGGCCCTCTCTGGTTGTTAAGGGCCAGAGGGGGCTCTGGTTGGTGTTGCTTCTAGTCTCGTGTCTGGAACAAGCAGTTAATGTTCAATTAATGTGCAGTTTTTGTGACTGTCCACTACTCCTAATAATGGGCCATAATTGGCATTTCGGTTATTTTTAATGAGCATAAATACCTTTTATACTTATGTTTTTGGGCTCACGTTTTTTAACAATCCTTACATATTCTACGGCAAGTTTGCTCTCGTTTTTGTGCCTAAAAACAAAAGTGCTCTCTTGAGTCTTATCCCGTATTGAATTTCGTGTAACCCGGGCGTAGGGTCGAAATATCAATTCGGAAAGTGATCTCTTACACGATTCGCAAGTAATCTCGTTCTTGATCGATTACCCTATTTATTTTCTATAACAAACGAATTGATATTCCGGTGAAGTCAGTCATGGCCGTTCTGTGAAAGAGATGACCTCGAAGTTCAGAAAGCTGGAGAAGTTTAAAGGAATCGATTTTAGGCACCGGCAGAAAAAGATGCATTTTCTGCTAACGACCTTGATGGTGGTGTATGTGCTGAGTACCCCCATGCCTAAAATAGTGGAGGATGAGATGCTGGAACAGACCCAGAAGAGGAATGAATAAGTGGGAGAATGACAATTACATATGCAGAGGCCACATTTTAAACGGTATGATTGATTCCCTCTTTGACATCTACCAAAATGCGGAAAGTGAGAAGGAATTATGGAATTCTCTTGAGTCAAAATTTATCGTTGAAGATGCTTCTAGTAAGAAGTTCTTGGTGTGCAATTTTAATAATTATAAAATGGTTGACTCAAGGCCCATAATGGAACAATATAATGAAATCCTTCGCATTTTTGGTCATTTCACACTGCACAAAATGAATATGGATGAATCCATTGTTGTGTTGAGTGTGATTGACAAGCTTCCACCGTCTTGGAAAGATTTCAAGCACAACTTGAAACATCAAAAGGAAGAACTATCATTGGTTCAACTTGGTAGCCACTTGCGCCATCGAAAAATCTTTTCGGGTGCAAGAAAATTGTAAGGACAAGAAAGTTGAATCGGGACAGCCCTCGATTAACATGATAGGGGAGAAGAAAACACATTCTAATAATGATAATGGAAAAGGCAAGAAGCGAAAGTTTGATGGACCCAATAAATCCTTCAAAAAGAAGAAGGATTTGGTGTGTTGGAGATGCAACAAATTGGGCCATTGCAAACGTGATTGCTGGGTTAAATGAAAGGAGGTCAGGCTTTGACTAACTTCGATTTTGATAAATCCATCGATGTTTACTATGTTTCACTAATTCTTGAGTCTTTCTATGTACAGGATGATGATTGTGCATGGTGGGTGGATCGGAGGCGACATGCCATGTTTGCAAAGATCGACGTTGGTTCAAGAAATTGACATCAGTTGAAGATGGATCTGTGTTAAACATAGGGAACGAGTCGACTGCACCGATTTGCAGGATTGGAGTAGTTACTTTAGAGTTTACTTCTAGAAATCATGTTAGGTTGTCTGATGTTCTTTTTGTTCCAAGAATTAGGAAAAATCTTGTTAGTGGAGGTCTTTTAAATTGTTTAGGTTTTAAACAAGTGTTGAATCGGATAGGTTTATCCTATCTCGATATGTTAGATTTGTCAGTTTTGAGTTTTATCATAATAAGAGGTTTCGTTTAAATGTGCTGAGTAATATTTTAAATTCTGAAAATTCTGCATTTTTATCGTCATCATCTTCTTCTAAAATTGACTCAATGACTTGGCATGCAAGATTGGGTCATGTAAATTTTAGAAGAATACATGAAATGTCAAATGATGGATTGATTCCAGCCTTCGATATTTATACAGAAAAATGTAAACTTGCATGCTTAAGAAAGTTACAAACCAGCCCTTTCCAAACGTTGAAAGAAAATCGGCTATTTTGGAACTTGTGCACAGTGATCTGTGTGATTTTCATTCCACTCCTTCATTGGGTAATAAAAGGTATGTTGTCACATTTCTTGATGGCAACACTCGGTTTTGCTATGTCTATCTTTTGCATGCCAAAGACAAAGCATTGGATAAATTTAAAATTTATAAAACCGAGGTTAAATTACAACCGGGTAATTCGATTAAGTGTCTCAGAACTGATCGGGGAGCGGAATATATGGATCCCCAGTACTTCCAAACAATTGATATTATTCACGAGACAACGATACCATACATACCTCAACAAAACGGGGTTTCCGAATGTAAAAATCGAGTTTTAAAGGAAATGGTAAACTCGATGCTTTCTTACTCGGGATTGAGTGAGGGATTTTGGGGAGAGGCCATGTTAACGGTCTGTTATGTTTTGAATAGAGTTCCAAACAAATGGCACAAAACCACCCCATATGAACTTTGGTTCAACAAAACTGCGAACTTGACTTATTTTCGAATTTGGGGTTGTCGGGCTGTTGTAAAACTACCCAAAACCAAAAGGAAGACTTTGGGTCAACGTGGAATTGATTGTATATTCATTGGATATGCAGAAAATTCAAAGGCTTATAGGTTTTATGTAATATAACCTAACGATTCGGTATCGATAAATACCATTATCGAGTCGCAGTATGCGATTTGCGATGAGATGCGGTTTCCATCAATTCAAAGGCCTAAGGACCTGATTCCTAGCAATAATAAAGTGCAAAATCCAGAAAGTTTGGATAGTGTTTCAAGTACCGAAACACAGCAGGTCCGGACAAGCAAAAGAAGCCGAATTGCCAAAAATTTCAGTCCCGATTTCCAGCTCTATTTGGTGGAAGGATCAAGGGTTGAGCTTGGGCTTCAATACTCTTATTGTTACAGTATTGAGGATGAACCAAAGACTTTCCAAGAAGCGATGGAATCTCGATATGCCCATCTTCTGGAATGAAGCAATTGATGATGAAATGTCATCAATTCTTGAAAATAACACCTGGGTGTTATCAGATTTTTCTCCAAGTTCTAAACCTCTTGGGTGCAAATGGATCTTCAAAAAGAAGATGAAAGTGGTTGGGACAATTGATAAATTCAAGGCTTAGTTAGTCATTCAAGGGTTTCGGCAAAAACCCGCTATTGACTATTTCGATCTGTATGCTCCGGTTGCACGTATTTCGACTATTAGATTGTCAGTCGCCTTGCGGCAATACACAATTTGATTGTCCATCAAATGGATGTAAAGATAGCCTTCTTGAATGGTGATCTTCATGAGGAAGTTTACATGAAACAACCAGAAAGTTTCGTTATGCCCGGAAACAAGCATAAAGTATGTAAACTGGCAAAATCATTGTACGGGCTGAAACAAGCGCCTAAACAATGGCATCAAAAGTTTGATGAAGTTATTTTGTCATGTGGTTTCGTCTTAAACCAATGTGACAAATGTTTTTATAGCAGATTTGATGCTAAAGGTGTTGGAGTGATCATTTGCTTGTATGTGGATGACATGCTGATTTTTGGAACTGATCAAAATCAGTTAGATGAAACTAAAAAATTGTGAACTAATTTTTCCATTAAAGACATGGGAGAGGCTGATATAATTCTTGGTATAAGAATTAAACGGGATAACAAAGGGATTGTGATGACACAGTCACATTATATTGAGAAAATTCTCAAGAAGTTCAATTATAGCGATTGTTCTCCCGTAAGCACTTCTATGGATCCTAGTGTGAAATTGGTAGCTTGATGTATGCCATGACGAGCACCAGGCCCGACATAGCCCATGTTGTGGGACGGTTGAGTCGGTACACTAGTAATCCTAGTACTCAACATTGGCAAGCGATTCAAAGAGTATTTAAATACCTCAATGGAACCATGAATTATGGTTTTAGTTACTTGGGAATATCCTTCGGTTTTATAGGGTTATTTGGATGTAAGTTGGATATCCAACATGGAGGACCACTCCTCTATTGGTGGTGGGTATTTTTGCTTGGGGGAGGTGCCATCTCTTGGGCATCCAAGAAGCAAACTTGTACCACTAACTCAACAATGGAATTTGAGTTTGTGGCATTAGTTGTTGTCGGTAAAGAGGCAGAATGGCTAAAGAATTTGATTTATGAGATTCCATTGTGGTCAAAGCCGATTGCACCTATTTCTATCCATTGCGATAGTACGGCCACATTAGCGAAAGCTTATAGCCAAATTTATAATGGCAAGTCTAGAGATGTGGGTGTTAGACACGCATGATTAGAGAATTAATCATGAATGGGGTAATCTCTATTGAGTTTGCTAGAACGCAACAAAATTTAGCAGATCATTTAACTAAAGGTATGAGAAGAGACTTAGTGCATAAGTTTGCAATTGGGATGGGATTAAAGTCAATGGTGAGACACCCAATTCCTTTCTAATATGACTTTAGAAGCTGAATTCAATATAGAAAGCTCACACTTATAAATTGGAACACAAGATTGAATCATCCCGGGTTTGTGTTCGGTACTGCAATGGGAAGGTTGAAGTTTATCTTCTTAATAATTCCTTTGATAAAGTGTATGTGCAGGTACACGAAGTAAAGGAATTACCTATGTGATTGTGAAGTGTAGTCGCACTTCAACAGGGTTGGGGACTTGGCCTTCTATACAATTATGAGAGGAATATGACACACGGCTTTATAAAAGTTTCATTTTATTTTGCTAGACGAGTATGGTAACTTGTATGTATTTTATCTTCAGGTATTCAAATGAGTTGATGGGTTCAATCCTTAGGACACCTTGATTCCCGAATATTTGAAATGTGTAAAGTACTAACATGGAAATTCAATCGATTCGATACTTTCATTTATGTGCTATTTGGTTTGTTCAATTTTAAGGTGTTATTTCATGGGTCACACTAAAATGGGGGAGGATTGTTGGTGATTTTAGTGTCATCGGGCCATTTAAGTGTAGTTGGAAGTAACAACAAGTTCTAATGGGGTTTTGTATTATGTTCTAATACAAGTCAGGAGGTGCGGAGTGCACACTTGTTATAAGACGAGTATGACCTCGGACACGACGAAATGAAGGGGGTCAAGGGACAGCTCCCCTTGCGGGGTCCAAACCAGAATTTTGGACTTAGAAAGTAGTGGAAAACTTGATCAGAAGGACCAGAAGCTCTCTGGTTGGTAAGACCAGAAGTTCTGGTTGATTAAGGACCAGAGGGGCCCTCTCTGGTTGTTAAGGGCCGGAGGGGGCTTTGGTTGGTCTTGCTTCTGGTCTCGTGTCTGGAACAGTTATTGAGCAGTTATTCTTCAATTAATGTGCAGTTTTTGTGACTGTCCACTACTCTTAATAATAGGCCATAATTGTCATTTCGGTTATTTTTTATGAGCATAAATACCTTTTATACTTATGTTTTTGGGCTCATGTTTTTTAACAATCCTTACATATTCTACAACAAGTTTGCTCTCGTTTTTGTGCCTAAAAACGTAAGTGCTCTCTTGAGCCTTATTCCATATTGAATTTCGTGTAACCCGAGCATAGGGTCAAAATCAATTCGGAAAGTGATCTCTTACACTATTCTCAAGTAATCCAGTTCTTGATCGATTACCCTATATTATTATTTTCTATAACAATGGGTACAGCATTGCTACATCTTAATGTTAAATGACAGTGTTAACATAATAAGTATGCTATACTAAGAGAAAAATTAACTGGAAGCACTGGCAGATACATTTAAAAAAACCAAATCAGTAAAACCCCGATTAGAATGTCCATAAGATCTCAAAGTGTTGCACTTCTCATACTACGTAGTTGAGAGCTATTCTTTTATCACCAAAAAGAAAAAGGAACACCAACACAACCAATTAAGTGTATAAGGAACCTAGATTAGGCAATCTTCATCAAACGTTAAAAAAACAGATGAAATCAAAATGAATAAATATCTAAGATAATGGGTTTTGTTCATTAAGCCATGTCCTGTCTGTTGACCTAAGAGGTAAGTGGTCATCTCACCATCTCTCCAAAAGTTTTAAGAAGCAAACTATGTATTGAAGATGCAAACAACTGAAACTCTAAAATGTGGTACCTTTCCTCCTCTCACACATGACCTCACTTATATAATTCATTAGAAACAGATGCATAAATGAATCTTGCTAAAGATGGAGCCAAAGTGTGATGATAGACAAGTGAAAAAAAAAACGATAAGCAAACTGAAGTGTGTTATCATGGTTAATATCAAATGAAAACTTTAGACCATGTAGATTACCTCATGTGTAAATGTCCTGACTGGAATACCAAAGGCCCTGGCCAATCCAAAGTCTGCAAGCTTAAGAGCATTGGTACGGTGATCTATCAACAGATTCTGGGGCTTTAGATCTCTATGCAGAACTCGATGAGAATGACAATAAGCAATACCACGTAACATTTGATATAGGAACATCTGAAAGTTGAAAACAATAACCAAAAATTATTTAATGCAAGAAAATCTGAAAGGATCTTCACTACCATCCCTACAAACTGCACTGTGTTGCTTGTTTGGTATCCAAGTCCTCTCAAAAAAGGGCCTTCATGTACTGTAAACTTCTAGAGAGAATGTTACTGAACTTGGAAACCATTGGTATTTCAACTAAGTTCAGTCCCAGGGTGCACACCGACCTCTAGGAGGCATGAAAAGATTACTCACTTTTACAAGATGAGGATCCTTTGAGAACTCCGGACAAGAGTCCATGTGTTTCTTCAAGTCTAAGTCTAGGTACTCAAAGACCAAATACAGACGTTTGTCACTGTGCACGACATCATGTAACCTGTCACCAAACAGATATCATTCAATAAATAATCTATGGGCAGCAGTTATACTAAAAAGACACATGATGTATGAACTCAATTATCAGTTTAAGTTACATCTATAACAGATTATCTAATCCTAAGCAAAATTTTCTAATTAAGAACAGACGCAGGTTTTGGTTGGGAGAAAGTAAGGAACGCTTGAGAGTGCCAAGAGCAGATACTGGCAATCCATGTACCAAGTCTTGAGTGTCCTCTTTTAAGTTAAACTAAGACTTCATAACTTGAAACTTCAAACATCCATGCTTCGGGAGGACATATACATGTTTTTTATCTTAGTAAAGGCTTAAGGTATACTGACATCCACAATTATAGAAGTAGAGTCACAGATCGTTGAAAAGCTATATGAAGCTTCATCTATATAATCGAGTAAAACTAATAGAAACATTGGTTCTTGTTTTAAGTTCTTCTTTAATATGACACAAAATTTGACTTCTAAGCATTAGAATCTAATTGTCTGTCTACGCAAGCAATAAACTTACCTATTGCAGAAGCAGAATTACAGTCTTAAGAATTGGAAACATTAATTGCAATGTTCTTTCTTTTGAGAATAGTGGAGAGTGAAAGTCATTCAGGTAGAAAGCAAACAGGAATGATGGAGCCTGAAAAAGAAATGCTGGAGAGTGAAGCATATATAGATTGAAAGGAAACATTGCTAGATCAAATTATCAGATGGCCCTTGTCAATGAAAGATTTTTACACAATAACAGAGAAAGAAATTGGAGGTTTTATATAGGGCCACTAATCCAATCACAAATAAAAGATTTCATGCCTTGGGTTTTGGCTACTTATTGTGGTAAACTTACATATTTAAAAACAAGCATCCCAATTTCCACTCCATCCCCTATAAGTCATATATATAAGAACATCCACCATCTATAGAAACACAAATATCAGAAGCCTAGATGCCAAATAAAATAGCTGGTTATTGCTCAATCGAATCCATAAGAGTGTCCCTAACATTCAAATATACCTGACAATGTTTTCATGTTCCATCTCTTTCAACAGCGAGATTTCTCTTATAGCTGTGCTAGGAACTCCCTCATCTTCTTGCTCCAGACGAATCTTCTTCAAAGCAATAGTTTTATTGGTTATTCTGTCACGAGCCTTGTAGACCACACCATATGTTCCTTCACCAATCTTCTCAACCTTTTCATACTGTGGTGGTACAAAATATCACAAATCCAGTAGAAGAAAACTTACTTTAATAGTCCTAAGGGAGGCCTGAAATGTCTTATACTCATACCTGGTCCATCAATTCCGCTGGAAATAAACTCGCTGGAGTTACTGCAGTGGTACAAAACATCACAAATATCAGAAATCCAGTAGAAGAAAACCTACTCATCTGGAGTTAGTATACCCCGCTAAAAATAACACTGAATTAACAACAATCTGTGATTATGACATTATTCTGTCCCCTAAACAATCCAAAAAAAAGCACCTTAGACCCATAAAAGTTTAGTTTTAGCAACATTTCCCTAAGTTCAGTATTGTTCAGAGCTTGGACTTGGAACTAAACTTGTTCAGTCTAAATTTTCTACTTACTTTTGCTCCAATTCTACTCCCAATTCGTTGAATAAGAGTGTGCAAACATACCCTTAGAATCTCTGTTTTACCAACAGATGACTGATCACCATAACTAGTCTCCAGTTCATATTATCAAACAATCAAGGTAATATTATAAACTTCAATACTTTTTAACTAAAATCATCAGTAAAAATTACTAATAATCATCTAGATGAAATAATCTTCGTGTAGGAAATCATCTACAATTTTAATCACCGTCAAACATCACAATCAAGTCAAATCAAAGTCATACATCATACATTAAATTTCTATATGCCTATTGGACCAACAATTTTTGCTGTCACGATCATTGACCATTGATCATTGAAGTATAACAAAGTCTAGAGAACAATTCATGATCATGCATGTTACTGAAAAAAGAAAATCCTGGAGCATCCACATACATAGAATCTCAAAAATCCAGCAGCTGAAATCTTTCAAAAACCTCAACAATTACTATATAAATTTTCTAACCAGTTGAACTTTAGGTGCCTCTGACGTCAGTAGACTTCAGTTCTAACAACACATTACACATCTCTATATTCACTAATCACCTTCGTTTTATTCAACCAATGATGCGATCCTTGTAAACACTCTCCATACAATCAATCGCTTCAATCAACAGAAACCAGTGAAAAAATCTAGCAACTAAACGATTAACGATCTCAAAGTTACAAAAAATAGAACGGATACAATCTACATCACTCAAACTACTCCATAATCAAGTAAAACATGTTCAAAACCAACACTATTTGCCAACATTTTGAACGTAAGATGAAACTAAATGTGAATTCAATCAATGTAAGTTGTTATAGTTGATGATTGAAGCTAGAACTTGATCAAGAACAGAAGGATGATGAACTTAGATTCGTTGTAAAACATGAAAACCCTAAGTATGAGAAAAGTGAGGTGAGAATTTGTGAAGCATACTGACCTGTTGTGAAGAACGAAAGCTTTTTGCAGAGAGAAGAACGTGGGGGTAATGGGGTTTGGTGGGGTGGAGGGAAGAAGGAAGAGGAATTTATATGTCGATGTGTGATTATATTATAAAACTAGGAAAGGGCAAAATGGTAATAAAAAATTGTAAGGGTAAATTGGATATGATAATATGTCTATATAAAGTTAAAAGAGAGGGCAAAATGGTAAAATTGATACATATCAATCATATATGATATTATTGATATGATTAGATATGAGTGATGTTGGTAGTAATCAAATAATATAATACGAAAATGGTCGAATTATATGATTCATGTGATTTTAGTCGTGATACTTGCAGGTCGGATTGTCCGTTCACTTTTGTATTGATTGTATTTCGTAATCGCATATAAAATTAAATGTGATTTTACAGATTTTTTTTATTAACTTGGATATTCAACCCGCTATGCGAGCCTACTAATCAGGACGACCACCTGCTTTGTGGTTAGCACGAAGTCACCGCATTTGAACCTTCATGGCTACAAAGGGATTTTTTTTTAACCTGAGACCTCCGGACACTTTTGACCTTTACAGTTTTCTTGTTATCATTTGATCCTCCCTCATAGTAAATTATTTTTCTCGAACATGTAATTTTGTTAAAAAATTACGACTTTAGTTTCTATAGTTCTGAAATCGTGGTGGGATGGAATGGAATAGAATAAATATAAGAGTATAATAGTTTTTTCTTAAAAGATGATGCGAAGGAATTGAAATTTCTTGTTAGAACCCAAGGAATTTACATGCCACCATATGTGGAATTCGAATTCTTTACCAAAACTCAAAGAATGAACAGAATGTAGGAACGATTCCAGTTCCTTCAAATTTCACCAGATTTCAATAAACTAGACACAATCAAGATTATATTATTTCAGAAAACATGTGAACATTGAGCATCCGATCCAACCGAATTCAATGGATGATTGGATCGGATTGGTTTCATCCATTGGATCTGTAGTTTCCATCCAATTTTCCACCAATTATTCATGTATTTTCTTAATTTATTTAAAAAACACTAAAATGTGTGTGTGTGTGTGTGTGTGTGTGTGTGTGTATCAACTAGAAAACAATATTGTAAGATTCTAGTAATTGTATATAGCTATCAACCAGATGGAAGTTGAATGATAATTGGATGGTCGTTAGATTTGATTAGTTTGGTTTTATTAGATTATTGATTGTCATCCAATAACCAATCGATCCAACTTGGGTGTTGAATTTGAATCGATTTGATCCGATTATGATTAGTTGATTCTAATTGGATCGGTCAGTTTAAATTGGATCATATGACGTTCTAAACCCCCTAAAATTAACCCAACTCTTATTTGATAAATAGCCCCTTATTAGCCAGGTGTCACTTACCTAACCAAATGAGTATGACAAGGACAGATAATCTTACCTGGTAAGAGACATAGCAAGGACCGAAAATCTTATCCAGCAAGTGAGGGAGAAGACTCTTACCTGGTTAGCGCTTACCGGGTAAGAAACGCTTATCAACAATCCATTTTATTTGTAGAGAATGTTACCCAATAAGGTAACTGAGAGGGATGAATCTTACAGGTAAGCACATATCACCAAAGGGTCTTCGGCCTAGCGGTATCATAGTCTTTGGCCTCCTAGAAGGTCTGGTGTTCAAACCTCACCAAAGATGAGGAGAGTATGTGAGTTTATTTGTTGCATTTCTTGTATATAAATATTATATACTTAAAAAAACACACATATCCGATAAGCGTTTGGTAAACAACCCTAAGTTTGCAACTCATATAAACCACCAGTCTTTGTAAGAAGGGATGAATATGCCTCAAGTTCTACAAGTTTGCAGACCTTAAACTTTAGAGTTGTTCATTGACGGAAAGACCCGTTAGACCCGACCCATTCGGCCCGCTAGAAATACGGGCTTTGACAACCATTATCGAGAAAATGGACGGACCCGAGTTTGTTCGTTAAAATTAACAGAAGAACATGGGCAATGTAAAAATGAATATGGACAAGAATACCCGGTTCGTTTATGTTTTATAATTAATATTTTTTTACCATTAATTAAAATTATACTAATATATTTTAAAATTAAATTATTAAAGTTATAGGATGGGTGTTGGGACTTTTAGGGCCTGTTTGTTTTTTAAAATTTGCCTCTTAATTTCCTCTTATGTCTGAATCGGTCAGACATATAGACTTTCAAATCGTTTGTTTTTTCCCCCAAATTAAGAGCTGAATTCATAAGGTTTCCTCTGAATTTTTAAGTGGTAACCCTAGCTCTTAATACCTCTTATTTGTTTATCCGCCTCCTTACGTCCCTCTCATCCGCCTCCTTTACGTCGCTCTCATCCGCTCTCGTCCCATTCATCGATTGAAGCTGGTGTTCTGGTAATCTTCTCGATCTCTCTTTGGTTTCAGATTTCAGATTTCAGACGTAAAAACAAACAGTCTGACTGATTTAGATTTCAGACTTCAGCACCACCTCTAAAAATTCAGAAGAGAATTCAGACTTCAGCACCTCTTAAAAAACAAACGGCACCTTAGTTAGCATTCTTATGTCAAAAATCTTAATCAATCAACAATGGATGGCATTAGCAGTTGCTTAAAGTTTTAATTGCAATGGTGTTTTTCGTTTATTTTTGGTTCCAATTTTGTTAATTAAGAGTTACACTTTTTAGGCCTTTTAGTCCACGGACAAGCCCGACCCGTTTATAAGGACAGACAATGACAAGTTATCAAGCATAAAAAAAAGGACCTGGGTTTAGAATATTAAGTCCGTTGGACAACAAGAAGTTAGGCTTGATACAGGCCCGCAAATGATCACCTTTACCTTAAACCAACGAAACCTTTCAAGTCAAACAAATGAAAGAAGGGCCAAAAGCTTCAAAGTCCAAACTCAAAAATTACAAATCATTAACATTTGCAACAAACCCGAGTCAGAGAAACAAGTTCTTGATTCGAGCATGACCCTACAAGCGTAAAGCAACGCTACTGATTCATATAAACCGAAAGAATAACAATAACAAATTAGACTTTTAAATAGAACAAAAAAACACGATAAACGCATTTTTCTTACTATTAAATGCAGCAAAAAGGCATTAATGTCAACTAGTTCTGTGGGACTCGACTACAAGAACACGACCTCAATTGTCAATTTCCATTGCTTGAGCAGCTTTAGCTTTTGCCAATGGCGTCATTCGGGTCTTCAACTTCTTCTTGCCTACTGTAAATCCACCGCTGCCCTTCTTGTTCTTGTTCTTGCTTGCACTTCCATCGACCTAATCAAAGAAGTAGTTGATTGGGTAAGTTCACATGACCCAAAATCACATGGGTTAAGATCGATAATCACACACGCACACAAAAGAATAGTAGCATGGGTGCGTTGGACAGGATAAGACAATAAAAAAATTTATTATCTCACATTTGGGGCGAGATTAGATTGGGACATGAAAGAAACTGAGTGGGACAAAAATGGGTTTCTTTTGTCCCGCCAAAATAGGTAGAACAAAAATCAGGGAGGTTGGATAAGATGGGTAAATTACTAAACCATCCATGTCAAATTAAAACTCTAGAACCTTCCACAATTCTTTCCCCTAACTACCTCACTCTTGCCCATCATGTCCAGTCAAGTCTGCGAACCACACACCCCAAAGAAACGAAAAAATATAATGATATATACATGGTTTAGCTATCAGACTATATCCACATGCATTACTAGCTAGGATTCCATTATACAACACAAAATTTCTTGTGCATTGCCCCTTTTGCAATAAGAAATTCTGATAAATGAAATTTGTCATTTAACTATTTTCTTGCAAAGCACAGGCTAGATTCCGTGTAGTGGCACACTGGTTTATGATCCAAATTAGGGTCGACATCCAGTATCCAACAACAGTCTGGAACCAAAATGGGTTTAAATGTGAAAACTGTGATAATATGTGGAAATCCATTAGATTAATCCTCAAAAAAGCCCTTGAAGAGAGAAGGGTGGTTCGAACGTATATCGAGGAGAAATGATCCAAGTCTAGCCGATGTGAGACACTAATAAAAACAATGAGATCTCATTCAAGACTAAGGAACCATTTACCAACACAAATTGGGTAGCGTTTCCCGAGGTATGAGTCACCAACCTCACTTACCTTACCATGTAGATTCTCGGCCATCAAAATAGCTTAGTATAAGCGTCTTTTACCCTATAAGCGCTGATTGGGTAGAAGTCAAAATTGCACAAAATGGCACAATAAGATTATTGGTAGAGACCATCTTTTTCACCGGATGTAAGAGGCGGTAAGTGTTTAGTTACCCAGTAAGATCCGGTAATTCTTTAGTAAACGGTCCCTAAAGCTTATGATTCTATGTTTTCAACACTACCTAGAGCTTTTAACAACTGTAAAAGAGAAATGTATTCAACAAACCAATATTTACCATCTCTCCACTCAAAATTTCCAATTTATAATCATAATCATTTCTTCCATTCCAAAACAAAGGAAGACCTTGACCGACTTTTGTCAATCAAACCTAGTCCCTTCCATACTTAGATTCAGATAGTAGCACTTCTTTCTCTATGGTAGCACCAAATCAGTAATCATTTATGGTGTAATAGTCATCAAATTATGCGACAATTTCCTGATAATTTCTTAAACTCTTCCTACAAATTAAACTGGATTGGACTACCAGTTTGACAACAACATTTTTTAGTAATATAAACTAATTTTAGTTGATTTAATTGTTTCTCATGAACACCCATGTCAATTTGCTAAGTTGAAAATGCACCTTCGGTCTCAAAGTCGATGTTTACCCCTCTTTGTGTACCGACAGAGAATCAAGCTCGAACTTGGAATCAACTTATTTGACATCTAAAAACCTAATATGAACTCCCTTTTTTCAAAAACACATGACCACTAATCGAGTTAACAAGGGTTCATGGAATGGAAATAGAACATGAAAACGAAAGCAACTTCTCATAATCATGTAGGATAATTAAACCTAAAACACTTACTTTCATCTTGTTCTTCTTAGCTTGTAGCTTCTTCGCCTTCTTTTCTTTCTCTTCCTGCTCTCCTAATTCACGAGCAATCGAAAAAAAGAATCAGAATCCTATACCAAAAACACACGAATAATCAATTAGAAATAATGAAAATTCACGTCGTTTTCATAAATTGATTACTTCGAAGCTCGAATTCGTGCTGCTTCTTTCTAAGGGATAAGTTGTTCTTCTTCGACATCCCTGATCAGAAGTTTTCCGGTGAGTATTCTGGTTTAATTGATCGTTTTTCCGGTTGCCGTTGACGGAAATCGAAAATCAACTGCGCTAAAACCCTAACCCTAGCTGACAATTCGATTAGGGTCATTTTCCACCGCGTTTCCCCTTTTCTTATATTGCAATAATTAAAAAATTGCTATTTCACTCCCCTGTATTTGTTATCTTTGTAACATAAAGTCCCTATTTTTCTAAATATTACACATTACCTCCCTTATTTATTCGGGCTTTGATACTTATGGCCGTAAACTAGAAAAACTAGTTTGAGTTTGACCCGAAAATTCGTTCCCTCTACTTGTATTTTAAGCAAGATCGATACTCGATCGAAATCCAGAAACGACCAAGTGGTTGTTTGCTTTTGGCTTAATGAACTAATGAACTTATGGGCCGTTTACCTAAACACTTACCTGGTAAGTGCTTACCGGTAAAATCCAACAATATCGTTTACCTATCGGGTAAGATTTTATTCACCAAAACGCTTCGTATGCAACAATTTATCCTGGTAAGCATTAACCATGGTAAGAGTTGTCGCCCTCACTTACTGGGTAAGACTCTTGATTCTTGTCTTCGCCTCTTACCGGGTAAAATTCTTAGTCTTTGTCATATTCATTCGGTAAAGTAGTGTGACTTGATAAGCGCTTACCTGGGTAAGCGTTTGGTAAACGACACCTTATTCTCATTGCCATATCTGGAGTATGCACTTTGAAGGGGAAATTTGTGTTGGATACAATTTTCATCGAGCGGTTTTCACCACTGTAAACTGAAACCATCTTAAGTATTATTTATGGGTGAGACAATTATAAACGATATAATTAGTTTCTGGGTTTGTAAAATCCAATAATCCAACACACGTTCGTCAATTACTTTGAGTGTCTGTTGCTTAGTGAATATGTGCTAACTTACAGTTTTAGTTGATTTCGGGTACAACTTTTATTATGTACTTATGATCCAGTAAAAGTTTCTTGATGATTTGAAAATAAAGAGCGTTGTAGGTCTTCTTATTTATTTTCCTTAAAAAAATTGTGAGTCTAACAGATTAATATCGAAAATTCGACATGTTGTCAATCTTATCATAGATGCTCAAACGAGTCAAATGTTAATACTGATCTGTATCCCAACCTGGAAATTGATCATACTAGGCTCGTTTAGGTCTGTCAATTTCATATTAGTTCTAGATTTTAGCACAACGTTCAGTTAGACCTGATTTTTGAGTCCGGATGTAAGGACAATCTGTATTTCTAAGTAATATTTAGTACATGTTTAGTATTCCTTATTTATTTCATCGTTTCTTCGTGTATTTTTTATAAATATTTGGATATTTTCATCATAAATAAATTTTATCTGAATCGTTAATGATATTAATTATTCAGTTGATTATTAACAAATACAATAATAAAACAACAACCAAATAAAATTTATAAAAAATAACTAGCAACATCATATACCCAACATTTAACTGGAAAAGAACATTACGAGAATAATAGCTGAACTGACCCTAGTTTTAGATATTATAACAGGTATGAAAAGGTTTTAAGACACCAATATTAGGACTAGTTGAAACACGGCCCAATCACTTTTTGAGTTCTGTCGTTAGGAGTGCTCAAAAACCTGATCAACCCAACTCAACGCGAAATAACTCAACCCGATATCTAATCGAGTTTTAGAATTTTCAAACTGTAGGTATTTGGTTGATATTGTGTTACTATTATTTGAACCCAACTCAACCGATGAACCTGATATCCTTTTATTTTTTTGGATTAAATATGATTGTTGAAAATCTATTAATATATACATTATTACACTATCACGTACATATACATATACACATATTTTCAATCTATTCAAATCTCTATATAAATTCATTCGTATATATGTTCAATAACTGTGAACATATATATGTAAATCGAGAAAATTAACTGAATATGATATACATAATAAGTATGGATAAGATGTATCAAATGGTTGATGATGAAAAAAATTATGAATAGAGAAATAACATATTCAAGGTTAGAAGAATATTTTAATTTACCTAAGTATTAACCCGACAAACCCTTGCTGTTTGGGGTGGGTTGGGTTAAGAATTTTCAAACCACAAGTATTGTGTTGAATTGTTCAAATGTCTTCAACCGGATTGACTCAACCCATAAACACCCCAATCTATCATTATGCATATGTTTATAACAGTTTTAACTATAAGTAACAAGTTAACTCGACAACTTTGAAATTGACTAAAATTATATTGATTTTATTGTTTTACATGTTTAAACAAATTTATGACTTTGTTTTATCCAAATAAGTCATAAAATAAAAACTAATGTGTGTTTGGATCATTGAATGTGTATTTTTATTGATTATTGTTGTTTGAAGTTATGATAATTAGTTTTGAGCTTTTATATAAATAATCCTCATAATTAGGGGTTGTTAGTTTATGCTAAGAAATGAAAATAAAAGGGAATGAAAATGGATATGAATTTTCATCCCCCTAGTTTAATCTGAAATGAAAATTTAGGCTTTTGGGAGAATGAGCTCATTATACTATGTAATACCAAATAGTTTTTTTTTTTCTTTCATCCTCATTGATTACTGCTTAATACCTCTAACCAAATGAAAATGAAAATGACAGGGAATGAAAATAAGAGTGAATTTTCATTCCAGAAAATTTGGGATTCCGAAAGAATGAACTTATTTATTTTAATTCTCATTGATTACTGCTTAATACCTCTAATCAAATAAGAATGAAAATGACAGAGAATGAAAATATAAGAAATTAATTACCATAATAAATATGAAATATGAGTTACATACTTACATATCATCATTTGTTTTAAACACACATTTTAGTTTCTTTTAAGAAAAATACATTTTAAAAAACTCATTCAAAAAAAATTGTATATATGTTTTATTATTCTATACTTTTTAAAATACGTATTTTGGAAAATAGACATTTTTCAGAACAAGGATAAATCATATATAAATCGTGAAAATCAATCTGTATGCGTTGTTTCATGGTTGAAACAACACACATGAATATTCATTGTTTATACAGTGTTGTTTTATAAATGAAACATCAATGAATATTTGGCCTGTGAAAACCCCATAAAAATATGTTTATACATGAAACACACACTCATACTTATATATAATAACAAAAAAAAAATTCAAAAAGAATGAATTTTCTGAAGAGTGTCACCATATTATTTTATTGGGTGCCATTGTATTTATGAAACTACAATAATGACACAAGTTCTTGATAACATAGATGGTGAGCGTGCTACCCTTTTGTCCAAACGAACCAATCATATACTTTTCTTACTTTTCAGCTTAAGTTCTATATTATTTTTTACAGTTTTTGTGTTTAGAAAAACTTGAAAGACAACGTGGTTGCAAGTTTCAGATATCGGTTCTTTTTGGGCAAGGGCAAAGAAACCAACCAACAAAGCTGTAACAATTTTATAGGAAATTTCAACATATTTCTTTATTATATCAAATGGTGCCACCACTTAAATACTTTTTTAAGTTTGCATCTGTTATCAAACATCTTATCATAGACATTAAAATTAGAACAACTTTTTAAAAAACATAAATTTTTAAATACCGTTCAACTTATTACATATTAGAACATCTCTCGTAGGTCCGTCAATTCCATATTAGTTCTAGATTAAAGACAATGGGGTTGTTTGTTTACTTCTATATAGTTCCATGAAGAGGCAACATCTGAATCGTTAAGAGGTGAATCTTGTTTGGCAAAAAAAAAGTTTGTCTCTTAATGGTTCTAAAACTCTCTGAATGATTTTGTATCTCAGGCCTTCCTTAATCATTATGTGCCCTACTTTTATTGTAAACAATTAAAAAAAATCATTTTACACTATTCATGAGTGTCTCTTAATTATCTGACCACTTAATCATTATGTATCAAACCATTCAGTAACTACCAAACAACCTAGGATACCAAATCATTTTGTACCAAACCAGTCAACATGTGCACCAACCATATCAATTAAATCGGTGTCAAACTGTCAATTATAGTCGGTTGGTAGTACATATCAAGTATGCAAACTTGATTGTTACACAGTATTGGAAGTACCATACCATAGTTTCCAACTTAATTAATTAATTATTTTTTATGCATCGAATATTAAACATTGTAAATTCATCTACTTTGTTTGATCATTTTAATGTTTGCAAATTTATTATTTGCAATTAGAAACCCTTTAACATCATACGTGTTACTTTGAAACTCAAAATTTGAACAAAGTACCAAGTTTTCATATATGTAATTTGAAGTTGGTACAAAACCAGTACTAACCAAAAAAAGTTGGCATCAAGTACAAGTGGTTTTTACACAGTAAAAAATTTTGTCTACCAATTATAATTAGTTGATACACTGTATTGAGAAAGAAAAAAACTTGGCATCGTACTAAGTCCACCCTTATTCTGAAGGGAAGTTCAACATTACTGTTAAAGTAACTTTTTTTGACTGTCTAGTAATTTTAAAATAACATAGTTGTTAGAGATACTTTTACATAACTGATTATTACAAGTTAACATGTGAAAAAAAAAAAGGAACAAATTCAAAAAATGATATGATTGACATGAATACCAAAAACATGTGTGGAAACACCCCTTCATTATGTGGTGTCAAAGTGTCCACACCCAACAAGAAAACCAGGGTTGACTTGGTCAAGTGAGACATTTTGAAAGGCCAAATGTCCCCTCTAATGTCCTAAAAGAGATGTCGATCGGCTATTTTTTATTTATTTATTTTAATAAATATCTGCATTGAAAATAATACAGTTTTTGAAATGTGTAACCGTTAGACAGTCAATTAATTAAATGGAAAAGTTCAGAAAAACCAACGAACTTTCATCCTTTGAATAAGGGTAAACTGCATGAAAATGTAACGTACTTTAACTTGATTCCTATTTTGGGTAGCGTATTTTCAAACTTTCCATTCTAGTATCTAAGATATAAAGTTTTAAACATTTAAGTACTTGAGTAACCGGTTGAAGTATTAACCGATTACTAGCTGATGAGGAGAGTGATATGGTATCCAACTCAGTATTATTTGCTAACATGGATATTTTAATCTAAAATTAGTTTTTATGTTTTTATTTTGTCGTTCGATTCTTCCACTTTTACAACAATTTAATAGAACACTTGTAGACGTATAAAACAAGACGGAGAATAGAAAAATATTAAAAAAAGAGGAGGATTAGTAACAGGGGGAAACGACGATAACGAATGCTAATAGAGAGGAGACGATGATGAAACGACGGGAGTGACGAGAGTTTTGAATGACATAGGGTTTGAGAACCGTAAAAATGATTTTAAGTTTTTTAACTTCAAATTATTCTTAGCCGGTTTCAAGATGTAACAAAAATTTTAAAAGTTCAATAATTTATTTATTTAAAAGGAAAAGTTCACGAACTTAATCATTTAAAATGAGAAAGTTCAATGGTTTTTCATTAAAAAAACGTTTAGAGACTTAGGGGCCGTTTACCGAAATGTGTACTCGGTAAACGCTTATCAATAGGAGTCAACACTATAATTTATTTTGATGCTAAGATTTTAGTACATCAAAACATATCGAATGCAACAATTTACTGGGTAAGCTCTTACCTGGATAAGAGTCGTCATCCTCACTTACCATACAAGACTCTCATTCATTTTCATCGCTCTTACCTGGTAAGATTCTTGGCTCTTCTCATGTTCATCCGATGAGGATATTTATTTGGTAAACACTTACCAAGTAACTGTTTTGTAAACGGTCCCTTAATAATTCAAAATGTGATAGTTCGTTGGGTTTTCTATAATACCTTTTCTTATATAAATATATACCCTTATTTATTTTACAGAATAATGTAATTGATGGATAAATGTATACTTTTATAATTAAAAAAATTAATTGCTGTTATTTTTTTTTTCTTTACTTTCCTTTCATTTCCTCCCATATTTGGGAGGAAAATCTGGAAGAAAAAACAGTCTTATTTTCCTCTGTTCTTTTTCTTTCCCTCCTAAAGAACATGAGTTTTTTTTTTCTCTTTTTATTTCCTTCGTAAAAAATGACTTGAGAACACAACGTTAGAGCTGGTTAAGAAAGCCCTTAGATTACAGCACAACAGGATTTTGTCCATCATCGTTACTGGCCATCACTTGCACTTCCCGTCGTTGTCGCCCCCTTCTCCTTCCCATCATCGTCTTGTCACCATCACATGTAATCTCCCACCACCTTCCTCCTAAGAAATACGGCAGTACTTCTGGCAAATTTATTGATAAAAGAAAACACCTAAGGCCATTCTTCTTAATGGAGCCCTGTCTTGTCACCTACACATGTAATCTCCCACCGCCTTTCTCTTAAGAAATATCACCTTTCGAGGAATTGTGACAGTTTCTTTTTACGGACGTTGATTAGGAAAATCAACATGGAGTTCAGCATAGCTACCAGTCAAATTACGTATCTTGTGGAGGTAAAATTTCGTTCCTGACAGATTTTGATATCAGTAACATAGATATTAAAGCTTTAAAGGCCTTAAAAAGTAGGTTAAAAATGTCAATTCATATGACGTAAATAAATGTACTGTAATGTTTCCAGTAGGGATTTAACTAAAATCCATTTGTATTGCATGTTCGGTTTAAAAGTTTAAGACACACGAAAAAATAGGCATATCTTTAAAATACTTTATAAAATTTCTTACTTTAATTTCACCATTGATGATCACAAGTTGTTGTTTTAATATTTTAGTCATAATAACTAATTCGAGTCACAACAACAAGTTTGGCTGGTTTTTCAGGCTTTGATCAGACTGGTTTTGGGTAAAACGAAGGACTGATTTTCGAACTTCATCTGCACCTTTTTGAATTTTGAGAACCAAAACGGACTTTTGCCTATAAATGGTCCTTGGGTTGGGTCTTTTTTAATCGTTCCTTTTTTAGACCAGTTCTCAAACTTTATCAATCTAAAATAAAAAACTGTTCAGTCTCGAGAAAAATGGATCCACCTCAGTCTTGTGCTTATTTTAATTCATGATCTTTTAATTCTATTTTAAATATTTAGTTAATACTTTATTAATTTATACGTCCTCCGTCATAAAATAAATGTCTACATTATTATTTTAATTTGTATGAAAATAATCGTCAACTTTTAAAACCAGACCATTTTTCCGTTCTATCTTTGATTATGAGACATAAAACATTTATTTTTATATAATTTAAAATAAAATTATTTTTTATTAATTAATAAATATTATAATTACATATTTCTATAATCGTGTGATTTTTTAAAGAATAAATAAATTAGAGTGTTATATTTATTTTGTAAAAAATGGGTTTTTAAAATAAAAAAAATAAAAAAAATGTGGTGGCTTTTGGAATCATACAACCATCTGTCTCTCCCACACATTGTTGTTGGCTTGTTCCCCATTTTCTTTTATTTATTTATTAATAATTGAGAAATAAATTTTATTTATTTAAAAAATCCAACAACTATACTATTTTACAAAATTTTAAGATTTAGAAAAAAATTGCTCCAACAGATATGCTAATTTTTTTTTATAAATAGAAAAAAAAAAGATAATGAAGAAAAATCTCCAAATTTGGAAGAAGGGAAAAAAATATAACATAGATGTTGAATTTCTTTTTTCCAAATGAGCTGTTTGTTTTTAATAAAAAAGCTCTTAATGTCCTCTTAAGTCTGAATCGGTCAGACATAAGAGGATTCAGTGTGTTTTTTTTTTTTTCAATTAAGAGCTTAAAAGCTCTTATTAGGTCTGAAAATTTAAGTGGTTGAGAAACCTCTTATTATTACCTCTTATTTCAAATCGTCGCCTACCTACTTTGATCTCTTTACGCTCGATTTCTCTGGATCAACTCTTATGTCTCGATCTATCATCTCTCAACTCTGTCAACTGTCAATCATATCAACTCTCGATCTCTCATCTTCAAACTTCAGATTTCAGACGCAAAAAACAAACAGTCTGATTGATTCAGATTTCAGACTTCAGCACCACCTCTTAAAAATCAGAAGTGAATTCAGACTTCAGACTTCAACATCTCTTAAAAAACAAACGCCACCTAAGTCTCCAACAGATATGTTATAATTTTTTTTAAATAAAGTACAAAAAATCAAAATCTCTAAAAAAATTAAGTCAACTCTAATAACTATTTAACAATTATAGTATTTAATTATATTATTAAAATATTTAATATAATTAATAAACTATTATTTTTCTCTTATAAATATTTATTTTTAATACCTTTTATTGGAGGAATTAACTGAAGTAATATTTATCTCTCTTATACAGAGTTATAGATTTATCTAAATTTAGAGATTTTCGTTTTTTTAATTATTTTTCCATTTTAATATACAACGTAAAATAGCTATCGGAGCATAAATTTCTTCTAAATCACTATAATTTTCATAATAATATAGCTGTTAATCTCACACCAGGTAAATCCTTAACCCTCCCCCCTCTTACTAAAACTACAGAATGTTCTTGTGAATTGTGGAATAATTCGATGGAGGTAGTCACTGAACCATACCATATAGTTTCGGCAACAACAAAAGCTGAAAAAAACAACAACAACGATACTACTGGAAAGAACAATTTTTATATTGCCCACATGCCAACCTTTGTTCAAGTGGAAGTACAATGATGTATGCAGCTGAGACATCCTAATAGACTGGTAGAGAGATACTTTTAAATACTCATGTTTTAGCATAACTGCTAAACTAAAAAGAATGTCAAAACGTCTATTTTAATACATTTGTTGTAAATGTTTTTAACAAATTCATTTTTAACATGTATTTTTAGCATTTACTTATTGATAAAAAATATTATTAAAATTATTTGCTTAATTATGTTTTACTAGAAGAGAAACTCGAGCAATGCAACGAGATAAATCTCGATTTTAACGTTTAGTTTTTATTCTTTATCTTTATCGATATAATACGATTTTATGTGGTTTTGTGAAAAACAATAATGTTTTTATTTATGAATGAAATATAAATTTGAAAAAAAAAACCGATATTAGTATCAAATTAACTATTTAATAGTTCTTTTTTTTGTGTAATTTATTTAATTCAATTTTTTATTATAATTTAATTTAGATTTAATAACAAACTAATTTATTTTTGGTTTAATAATATAATTTTTTTAAAAAGATAATAATTAAATATTATATTAAAACTCAATGATTATCTTAATTATATTTTAGATTTTCTATATTTAAATGAATGTTTATCATGTATTTGATTATGTTTATCTACAGTTAGTTACACGAATTTAAGAATAAAGCTTTAATAAGTTGTACTTACGCAAGGTTACTTGTAATATTGAATTTTAAGTAATATGCATCAATAAACAGTACTTCATGTATAAAAAATGATTTCTAAAAGTTTTTATCAAATACTTTATAATATAGTATATATATAAAAATATAAAAAAAAACATCTTTTTGATAACAACATAATAATATTATTTTATATTATGAATTGATCAAACATATCTCTTTAACGGGAGAATATTTTCAATAAGTCAAGTAGTGAATGAGCTTTCTACTTATGTCTTTTATTATAATTTATTAAAATATTAAAATAAAAAGAAATTAATATTAATAATACATAAAAATTGGTATTTCTACTTATGGCATTTCTAATATTTATTAAAATATTAAAATAAAAAACAATTATATTAAAAAAAACTCATCAAAATTGGCATTATTTCATATGGTTCACTCGGTTTCATAGATGTCAATTTATGCAAATCATACCAAGGTGCCACTGCTTCCCATTCACACATAAAGCAATAAACATCACTTCATCTTTCTAGGGTTTTCACAAATTCAAGATTTACAAAAACTACCCAAAAAGATCAATCTTTTTGTGTCTTTTTGTATACCATTTTTAAGATCACAAGATTGGGTTTTTGTTTCTTGAAACCAAAAATCAAGAACTTTTTTGATGTTTCCCAAAACACCCTTCTTTAAATTCTTCCTTTGTTGACTCCCGACCACAGAATTCTTTGAATCTTGGAAGCCCAATAAAGTTCTTCTGTCTGGGGGCAATCTTGGAATTCAAGGCGAAAATGTGGATCCTGTAGGAACTTGGAAATGGGGTTTATCAGTTGGATTTGATTTGATCAAGAAAAGGGTTTTCAATTTTGACTTGCTCTAGAAGATTTAGGAACCTCGTAAAAAAGTTAGTGGTTCTTTTTGGGTGATTGTGATTCAGAATCAGAAAGGGGGGGAAGAAAGTTGACTTTTTTCGTTTATTAGTTGACTTCAGAACCAAGAGATAATTATATAACAAAGGTATGATTTTAAGGTCTTTTTTGGTTTTTCCTCTTTTGGGTTTCTCTCTTTGGAGTTCAAAGATTGAATTTGGTTTATTCAGTTTCATTCTTGACTCATAATCATCTCAATTGATCTGTAATCCTCCATTTTCTTTTCATGTTCTTAGTATTTTCTGAAATTTGAGATCTTCCCCTTTGTTTTCTGTTATTATTCTATCACAATTTAGTTGAATTACTGTTCAAGATCTTTAGTTGTTTATATATGTGTATGTATATATGTAAAACAGAGTATGTTTATGTTCATCAAACAGCAAGTAATTTAGGAGATGAACATCTGGATTGCAAATAGAAGTTATCTTTGATGAATCTGTTCAGTTTGATGATCTGATATTGCTAAATTTAGATTCAACTCAGATTTTATAACAAAATGTAGTTAATTAACTCTTTTTAAGCAAAGAATATAGTTTTATTGTCAATTTTGAAGTTAAAAAACATTTAGTTTGACTCACAAAAGTCAATGGAGAAAACCTCTTCTTGTAGTCTATAAGTACATCATTTGTATTGTTTTATCTGTATAGTAAATACTTGTTTATGGAATAAGTCTTGTATGAGAAGACTTTATGTAGTTATAGAGTCCTACATTATATAGATTATATGAATCCTAGTATGTTTTTATTCTGCAAAAAGGGTATGACGTCATCCTCTGAATCCTAGTATGTTGTTAGAGTCTAGAAATAAATATTTCCATCTGCTTTTTGGAGGTAAAGTTCAGGTCTGCATACATCCCATCCTGGAATCTCTGTGTGGTTATCGGTCTTTTGCTTGATTACTCGTAACAAGAATGGATGTGATACAAAAGATTTGTTTCGAGATTTTCTTGAAGTGTTTCATATTCTTGCCACACAGGTTGGTTTGGAGATCCGACATGGGTTCGCTATGCACCAAGCTGATCCCATGTTGTCTCGCTTCACCAGAAGATTCATCGGTTCTTGAGGACCCGAATGTTGGTATGTACTTTTTTTTAGTATTATATATATATATATATATATAGAGAGAGAGAGAGAGAGAGAGAGAGGGAGGGAGGGAGGTTCGTTGGTTCAGGGCTAAAAAAATGAAAAACTGAGAAACACCCATATAACCAATCATTTGCATGGTATGCACATGTGCATACAAGTAATTGAAGCCGTTTCTTGGTTTTCATGCACGTGTGCATGTTATATGCACATGTGTATACCGGACAAATTGCTTACAAATTACATGTGCATACCAGATTAACATTTACAAGGGTGTTCCTCAATTTTTCATTTTCTTGCGGTTTTCCCTTGAACCTGACCCTATATATATATATATATATATATATATATATATATAGCAAAATCACACACATTTCTCACCTTTGATGAGGTTTGAACCCTTGACCTCCTGGACTCTACCGATAACCGGATGCTGCTAGGCCAATGTCCCTTTGGTAAAATCAAATGTTTGTATATTCTTGGCATGATGGTAGAGTACCCCTCTTTGTTGAACAAATAAACCAAACCAAACGGATATGATAAATCTCATTTGAAAGAAGGGTTTGGCAGTGAGATGTACGCATACCTGGCCTTTACCTCGAAGAGTGTGATTTTATTGATCAAATATAACATGTTTTTTTACTTTTTCTTTAGGGAATAAAGACGAGGAGGCAAGTGATCCAACCGCATTCAAAGAATTCACATTGGATCAACTTAAAAATGCAACATCTGGTTTTGCTGTAGAGAACATTGTTTCTGAGCATGGTGAGAAGGCTCCAAATGTTGTTTATAAAGGGAAACTCGAGAATCAAATGAGGATAGCCGTAAAACGCTTTAATCGATCAGCTTGGCCTGATTCTCGACAATTTATGGTACAATATCAAACTCATATGGTTTTCTTTTGAAGTATATAATATTTACATACGGCAAATATTCATGCACACTCCTCATGAACTTTAGTAAAAATAATCTAAAAAAGATCAGATGAATTCGGTCAGCCGTTGGTCAGAGTCTTTTAGAGTCTCATGGTTCATTTTGGGACACGAGGAATTAACTGTTTTTTCGGTTCATATAACTGGTATTTATTATTGGAAACACCCGTAAAGTGTTCCTCTTTTTGTCGCTTGAAAATTATAACGTTTGCCTAGACACATAGTTTGAGGGAAGTGGTTGACTTTTTAGTCAAATGTCTAAAATACCCTTCGATTAGGAGCATCTGTGAAGCTAAACGTAAAGGTTCCATTTTAGTCACTGTTATGAAATAGGAATCTTTCTTATTTTTAGTACTTTTGCTAGATGACCTCTGATAGATGGGATTATACTAGGATTTTACAGTCTTTTATATACTCCCTGGTCCCAAAATAGATGTCCGCATTTCTATTTTAGTTTGTCCCAAAAATAAGTGTCCATTTTCAGAAGTAAGTGCCTACTTTCCAATTCTACCCTTAATTATGAGATGGAAAATTCATTACTTCCATGATTATTAAGGGTAAAATTGTCATTTTGTTAATTAAAAAATATAATAGTTACACACTCTCTAAAAGTATGTGCCTTTTTCAAATTTATTTTGGGACGGAGGGAGTATGTTGATTGGGGCATTCATGTCATTTTAATTTCTATCAAGCATTGACCATCATTGAATTGAAATTTGAGAAAGGATCTTTAATAACTTCAGGAAGAAGCGAAATCTGTTGGCCAGCTGCGTAATGTTAGGCTTGCTAATCTCCTCGGTTGCTGTTGTCAAGATGACGAGAGGCTACTTGTGGCCGAGTACATGCCCAATAACACACTCGCAAAACATCTTTTTCACTGTAAGGACACCCCCACCCCACCACCCTTATGGTTTTTGGCAAATTGTGTAAAAATGCAACGTACTTTGGTCTGATTCCTATTTTATGTAACATACTTTCAGAATTTTCATTTTAGTACCTCAAATATGACATCTCAAACATTTAGGTGCCTACTTTACATCTGAGAACGCATGAAAATGCATCGTACTTTGGTCTGAATCCCATTTTGTGTTGCACACTTTCACGAATTTCATTTTAGTACCTCAGATGTGACATCTCAAACATTTACATACTTAGTTTATATATGAGGATGTGGCAAATCGCATGAAAATTTAACGTACTCTGGTCTGATGCCCATTTTATGTAATGCACTTTCAAAACCTTCATTTTAGTACCTCTAATTTGACATTCTAAACATTTAGGTATGTAGTTTAATATGAAAATGCATGAAAACGCGACATACTTTGGCTTGATTCCCATTTTGTGCAAGACACTTTCAAACTTTCATTTTAGTAGCTCAAATGTGACATCTCAAACATTTACATACTTAGTTTATATATGAGAATGCATGGAAATACAACATACTTTGGTTTGATTCCTATTTTGTGTAACGTACTTTCGGTACTTTCATCTCAGTACATTAGATATGACATCTCAAACATATAGGTACCTACTTTACATATACATTCATCTAATAATGCTTGAGACATCACATATGTGGTGCCAAAATGAAGGTTGTAGAAGTACGCTACACAAAATAAGAATCGGACCAAAGTACGTTGCATTTTCATGCAATTTGTTCTATGGTTTTCCTTTCAGTATTGTGACTTACAATGTAAAAGCTCCAATGATTCAGGGGAATCACAACCAATGAAGTGGGCAATGAGATTAAGGGTTGTGCTACATCTTGCAGAAGCTCTTGAGTATTGTACAAGTAAAGGTCGTGCTCTTTATCACGACCTCAATGCTTACCGGGTTTTGTTTGATGAGGTGAAGTTTTGATTTTTTCCTATTTTCTTTAGTCTTTGTGAAGTATAATATACATATTATATATATATATATATATATATATTATGAAAAAGGCGAAGGATCGTTTGAGAAAGAGATTTAAAGTGAGAAGTGTAAGAAGGGATCTGGGCCTTTAATCACCTTTAATCTCCTTTAATCTCAAACCCACCCATGAATAGCGTTTGATACGGGGATTGATCCGGTGCATCTTGGTGCATCTCATTCTAATGTGCATCCAAGGGTGGAGATCCCTTCTTACGCTTCTCACCTTAACTCTCATTGTGACTAGAAGCCAACCCTTATGGAAAAACCCCCAAAAAATGAAAAAAAAATGAGGAACACGGTGGTAACCATTCATGATTCATCTATTCATCTAGACGGTATGCACATGTGCATACAAGTAATTTAAGTTGTTTCTTGGTTTATATGCACGTGTCATACGAGACAAATTGCTTACATATTACTTGTATGCACATGTGCATATCGTCAAGTTGAACAGTTGCCGAGGTATTCCTCGGGTTTTTCATTTTTTGCAGTTTTCCATGAACTTGACCCTATATATATAGAAAATACTCATGCACACTCCTCACCTTTGGTGAGGTTTGAACCCTTGACCTCTTGGGTAACCCTGGTTTTGATCGTTCTCTTGAATCTTTGTTGTATCCGTTTATTCATGCATTAGATTCTTACAGGAAGGTAACCCGAGACTATCATGTTTTGGTCTCATGAAGAACAGTAGGGATGGGAAAAGTTATAGTACAAATCTTGCATTTACACCTCCGGAGTATTTGAGAACCGGTATGTTTACATTTCAATGAACTTACTACTTCTTTTGTCCCATGAAAATTGCCGATGCCTCCATTTTTGAGAGTTTCCAATTAGTATTATTATGTATTTATCCATTGAACTACAAGATTCTCTTATCGTTGTTGAAGGGTATTACAGAATTATGTCAAAGACTATATTAAACAAAATGGCAAAATGCATCAGAATGGAATAAAGTTTAGTTTTTTTTCCATTTAGAGTAACGGATAATTTTTCCATCAACCAATGTAACGAAGTTTCAAACTTTTTTAATTTGTACCCATTTTGATCGTTATCATGCTGATCTTGTAACATTTGTTGACGTAGATACCCTTTTACAAAAGGGTTACAACGAAGTGGACGATAAACTTTACATCTACGTCATCGAATGTTATAAAATCAACAGGTTAACGGTCAAAGTGGGTGAAAGTTAGGAAAATTTGAAACTTTTTGCCATAGAATAGGAAATTTTGGAACTTTTGTTAAATTGATTGTGGAAAAAAATATATTTGTTACACTAAATAGGAACCAAGAAAAATTTCGCTATATTTGGATGCATTTTGTCATAAACAAAACCAACAAATAGATTCGTTAAATGACCAAAACAGATGAGATCTTACGTTTTTTTAATTTTGTGTAGGGAGAGTGACTCCCGAAAGTGTCATATATAGCTTTGGGACTCTTTTGCTTGATCTTCTTAGTGGGAAGCATATCCCTCCTAGCCATGTAAGTATATACCTTCTCGCGATATTTGAACACCTCATATCTATAGGGGAAGGTTTAAACGAGAACTATAAATATTTTGAGAACCGTGAGAACTATATACACTACGTGAATTTCAATGAATATACGCACCAATGCATATATACTTGTATAGGGGTGGGTTCAAACAAGAATGCTAAATATCATGAAAAGGTAAGAAGGGAAGGTGAAGGGAAGGTTCATATGTGAATGAGCGAAAAAGTCCGAAAAAATCTATTTGAAGATGCATCTGTGAACCCATATGAATAATCTGAAAAAGTCTGAAAAAATCTATTTGAAGATGCATATGTGAATCGACGTTACAAATTATTCATATGGGTTCATATTATCATATATGCATCTTCAAATAGATTTTTTCAATGATTCACATATGAATATTCCGTTCTTACCTTGTCACGATATTTAGCCTTCTTATTTGAACTTATCACTACTTGCATATATAGTACATATACATTGATGAACATACTAACTAGTGATGCATGTTTTGATAATGTATATGCACACGCATATATATGCACAAAGTGAGGTTCAAGAAGAACCACTCATAAAATAAAAAACCGAGGAACACCTTGATAACCGTTCATATGTATGGTGTGCACATGCGCATATTGGAAAAAATTACTTATAAGTTACTTGTATGCACATGTGCATACAGTACAGATACCCACCTTACCAGATTTGTAAAAAAAGGAAAGGCTTGAAAGACCCTTGTCCCCGAATAGGGTAATATGTTCTCATACAATGTTGCTCCAAGAATGATTACTAGGGTATAACTCAGTTTTTCATTTTTTTGCGGTTTTCCCTGAACCTGTCCCTATATGCATATACCGGTTCTCACGGTTTGCAAAGTATTTATGGTTTTCATTTCAACTTTCTTTTGGACCTATATAATCCATCTTGAATCGTATATATATTTGACTCCTGGTTCATTGTCTTAGGCTCTTGATTTGATAAGGGATCGGAACCTTCAAATGCTCACGGATTCATGCCTAGAAGGACAATTCTCTAATGATGATGGAACCGAGTTGGTGCGTTTGGCTTCTCGTTGTTTGCAATATGAACCCCGAGAACGCCCAAATCCAAAGTCTGTTGTGTCTGCTCTAGTTTCTCTTCAAAAGGAGACCGAGGTTAGTTGACCTTTTTGCCCTTGTGAATAATGTCTTTTTTATCATCTACACCATTTGTAGATCAAACTTCATCTTACGTGATTCTACGATGTTTGTGGGGGTGAGCCTTCAAGCAACGATTAGAGGTTACTTCTTTCATAGGGGGATCCAAAAAATAATTTCCAAGCGAGGGCACAAAAAAATTGGCATAATATAAAATAAAACATAATTTAATTATGAAAAGTACGATTTAATTAAAAATGACATTCAAGTGGCTTTTTGCACACCCAAATGTTTTTTTTCCTCTTCTTTTCGGTTGTTGTTACCAAAAAGTGAAAGAAAGAGTCGAAAAGATTCAAACTTGCAACCTCTAATGCCGCATGCAACAACACTACCGGTAGGCAGCTTCTCATACCTTTTTCTCGAACCGAAACGGTCCCGTACCTAACCGATACCGAATTCTCATATTCGGTATTTGGTCCCAAAAATCCGTGAATTTTGGTTTTCGGTATTTGGTACCGGGATTATACTGAAAAAACCGGTACAGTCGGTTCGGTATCCGGTCCTCATTTTTTGTCCAATTTTTTCCGGTACTGATCCAGTACCGATCTCATCCCAAGCTGTAATCACTTTCTGTTAACTTAGAGGAGCACACATCAAATTAAAGTGGATGCACCTTTAGTGGCCCCTGAATTTTAGAGCCGGTGCACATCCACCACCCCTGGGTGGGGGTGGGTGGGTGGGGGGGGTGGCCATCTTAAATCCGCCCCTACTTCTTTGTGTATGTGGGTCCACCCGTTTTACCCTACGATGTTTGTAGAAACTAAAGATCATCTTATGATTGTGCAAATTGCTTCGACTCGATGTTGTTATGAAATCACTTTGTTTTTGACACGTAGGTTCCTTCTTACGTTTTGATGGGCATCCAAACGACTTCTTCATTCTCGCCTCGATCTCCACTTGGTGAAGCTTGCTTGCGAATGGATTTGACGGCAATGCATGAGGTCATGGAAAAGCTTTCGTATAAAGATGACGAAGGACAAACAACCGAGGTTATATATATTCTAAATGATATCGATCTTACATTAGGCATCCGGGATGGTTTCACTTTCGTTAAAAATTCGTTTGTATGATTTGTTTTGCTCAAAAAAGTTGCTTAAAGCTTTCTAACATAAAGATGCACTAAGACCGGTCCTGCCGAGACTAGTCCAACAAGAAAACGACATAATATGGTACTTTCAGAGGCCTGGGCTGAATAGGACAGAACTGGACAGGATAGGACAAGAGGGTAGGACTGGACAGGACTGGACTGGACGGGACAGGATTGAACATAACAGGAGTATGTCTGGTGTTTGGTACGACTAGGACTAGATTAAGGTTATATATCAAACTAGGCTAGATTAGTAATATTTTAGTTTTTGTCTCATTCTTGTCCCATCTTGTTCCACCTATTTTGGTGGAACAAGAAAACATCTCTTTTGTCCCATGCTGTCCCACCTTGTCCCTGTTCTTGTCCCTGTTCCATGTCGCGCCAAACGTGGGACAGTGAGTTCTTGTTCTGTCTCATGCTGCGCCAAACATGGGACAGTGGGTTTTGTCCCGTCCTGTCATGTCCCGTCCCATGTACCAAACGCAGCCTAATGGTCCTGGTCTTGAAATTTGGGCCCGAACCGGTTTTGGTCCTTAACCAGTCCTATTTACTCTTTTCTACTAATTTCTTCCCGAATTATAGAACACACACACACACACACACTCTCATATATACCTTAGTGAACAAATTAGATTTCCTATAATGCCCCTCAAACTAGCCGTTATGAGGGGCAAGTTGTCTTTGTACAAGTTAGAAAATAAAACAGACAAACCAAAAAACAGCTATGTTTTTTACTTTTTGACCAGGTGGGCTTGGACCAGGTTTTACAATAACCGGTTCTTAACCGGTCCCCGATACAAAAGTGTAGGACTGATCAGGCTTTTGGTCCCGGACAGGGCCTGTTACAGTCATTCGTGTAAGCGGGCCGGGCCGGTCTCTGCCCTCAGGCCCATTATGCATCTCTAAATTCACACACACACAATAGTAATTTTATGAAATGAAGAAATTGATCATGGTATTTATGGCTTCGGCCGTTTACCTACATCAATGGACATTGCTATGATATTTATTTATAAAGTTGAATCCAAGAATCCAACAAGGTTGACCCGAAGGTCTCGGGTTTTGACTTTTGAGTCATAGAAACCCTCTTTGTCTTTTACCATCTCGGGTTTTTTTGGCCTTCGATACATATTTGCTTACTTTTGTGGTTTCTTGTTTCAGCTCTCGTTTCAAATGTGGACCGATCAAATGCAAGAGTCGTTAAACTCGAAAAAGAAGGGTGATACTGCATTTCGACACAAAGAATTTAGCACCGCAATCGAATGCTATACCCAGGTCTTCTCTTTTGCTCGGTTTTTATATTTATCTACGACACCAGTTGATTTCTTAATCACTCGACCATCGATGATTTCTTAATTTTTTTCATCTACATTATCAAACAAATTCTCACATATATAACAATTTTGTGATTTTTAGAATATTAATGGATGTTGGTGAAATGTCTAAAATACCCTTCAACAACGAAGGAATCTTATGAACAATAATCACTAGCATGAGTAACATGTAATGATGATGATGGGTAAATAAATAATTTTAGCTTTGAGCTTTTTCAAAAACGGAAAAGTTGCAATTTCTATACGTCATCCAAAAATGAAAATCCTTGCAATTTTCATGGCGTAAGAAGTAAGATGTTAACTTCTTCGGATACTTTAGAATTTGTATAATACATGCATACATGCATAGAGGGAGGTTCAAACGAGAACAATAACTATATAAGTGAATATGAAAATGACCAAATCATGTGCAAAATCACATGTGATTTTACACTGACGGTCAACACAAGGGTATGCGGTCGCAGCCAAAGTCGCGTGAATCACATGTGATTTTACACCTGATTTAAAATCACATGTGATTCTACTGTTTTCATATTCTCTTATTTAGTTATTGTTCTCGTATGAACCTGACTCTACATGCATATAGATTGATTCATACATGCATCCGTGCTCTTGGACATTTGGATACATTCATACATGCTCTTGGACCGTTGCATGCATGCTTTTGGACTTTCAGATGCATGCATACATGTGCTTGGTCCTTCTGATACATTCATAGATGCTCTCACTACAACAAATTCGGGCTTATAAGAAACCAAAATTGTCTTGTCCTAATAGACTACTTTATAGGACTTAAGTTTACAGGACCAAACACTCGTGTGTTCTGTCTAAAAGTGTTGTAATAAGTTTATAGGACACTTTTGGGCGTCTTAACAAGCTTTTTAGGACACTTTTGATACAAAATGTCCTATTAGCCTTTTTATACAGCACTATTTGAAAAGTCTTATAAAACAAATGTCCTATAAAAAATATGTGCTTATAGGACACATTTCTCAAAAGTGTCATATAAAAGGGCTAATAGGACACTTTGTTTCAAAAGTGTCCTAAAAAAGCTTGTTAAAACCGTTATATAAACTTATTACAACACTCTTAGGTAAGAGACAAGTGTTTGATCCTGTAAAGTTAAGTCCTATAATGTAATCTATTAGGAGGGGTTGTTTGGTTGGTTTTTCATCAAGCTCTGTATGGATAAAGCTGTCTGTGTGGATTAATCTGTCTATATAAATTAGGAAGGTTTTTGTTTGGGAGAGTTTTTTCATAGATGGAAAGAGCATGCTTTTTAAATGTGGGTGGGGGGGGGGGTAGGTTCTTGGCTTTCTGCATAGAGTTTCCCTTTAGAAGTTTACTGAATAAGCCACTTTTTATATCACTAAGTCACTACCAAACAGTCATGTATAACTGACCGAATAAGCTGCGAGTCCCATTAAGCTCATTAAGCTGCTAACAACAAGGCCCTTAACCACTTTTTAGTGTCCTATAAACCCGATTTTGTTATAGTGTCTTGTCTTGAACCTTCTGATATATGCATCCATGCCCTTGGACCTTCAGATGCATGCATACATGCCCTTGGACCTCCGTATACATGCATACATGATCTTCGACCTCCAGATACATGCATACATGCGCTTCGACCTCCAGATACATGCATACATGCTCGTGGACCTCCATATGCATGCATACATGCTCATGGACCTCATGATGCATGCATACATGCCCTCAAATCTTTTACCACATGGTTGGTTCTTCCGATACATGCATTTAATTGAATACTTGTAAACCGTTTATCTATCTTTGTCTGCAGTTCATTGAATACGGACCTATGGTGTCTCCAACGGTATACGCTCGTCGCAGTTTATCGTACCTCATGAACGACATGCCTCAAGAAGCCTTAGGCGATGCTATGCAAGCACAAGTCATCTCGCCCATATGGCACATTGCTTCGTATCTACAAGCTGCCTCACTTTTCGCCCTTAAAATGGAAACCGAAGCCAATGTTGCTCTCAAGGAGGCGGCCACTCTCGAAGCCAAGAAAAACGGAACCACCATTAATGGACAATAACCATGTTGGTTTCGTCATCGTATAATACTGTAAATCTCTGCCTTTTTTTTATCGTAGACTTAATTGCTTCTTTTGTACGAAAAATGACCGATGAAAGACGGCGTCTTCGTATGGTTTAAAATGACGGTTTTGCCCTTGGGTTTGGTGTTGGTTTTCTTAATTTTTTTTCTTTTACATGTGGAGTAAATTGTGTATTGAGAAAGTTAGAAACAGATTTGATGGGAATCTGATTGTAAAGCAAGAACTCAGTTGACAATACATGTGTAGTTTGTGTACAAAATGACTATTTTGCCCTTCTCTTTGTTTCTTGGTTTTTCAGCTTCGTTTGACATGTTTTGTACAAATTGACTTTTGCTCCTCTCCTTGTTTCTCGGGTTTTCACTTTGCAGCTTCATTTGACATTCTTTGTACAAAAAGACTATTTTGCCCTTCTCTTTGTATCTTGAGTTTTTCAGCTTTATTTGAGTTCTTTGTACAAAATGACTATTTTGCCCTTCTCTTTGTTTCTTGAGTTTTTCAGCTTCATTTGGCATTCTTTGTACAAAATGACTATTTTGCCCTNAATGACTATTTTGCCCTTCTCTTTGTTTCTTGAGTTTTTCAGCTTCATTTGGCATTCTTTGTACAAAATGACTATTTTGCCCTTCTCTTTGTTTCATGAGTTTTTAAAGCTTCAGTTGACATGCTTTATACACAATGACTATTTTGCCCTTTTCGTTTCTTGAGTTTTTCAGCTTCATTTGACATTCTCTGTACAAAAATGACTACTATGCTCTTCTTTTTGTTTCTTTGAGTTTTTCAGCTTCAATTGACATTCTTTGTACAAAATGACTACCTTGCCCTTCTATTTGTTTCTATTTGTTTCTTGGTTTTTCCATCATTTAACATTCTTTCCATCGCTCTTTTGTTCCATTAAGATGCAAACGAAGGTTAATCATCTGTGAATGTGGTCTCCTTGGGTTCGAGTCATGAAAATGGTCTTTTAGTGCAAAATGTGGCTGGGCTGTTTGGCAATTGCTGAATGGTTTGGTGCAGAATGATTAAGTGGTCAGAATGATTAAGAGACTCATGCTATAGTGCAAAATGAAATATAATTGTTTGGTAATTGTGTACAATGAAATCATGGCTCTTAAGGTTACGGGAGATCCACGATACAAAATCATTCAGAAGGTTTTAGAACCATTAAGAGGCAGATTTTTTTTTGCCAAACAAGAATCATCTTTTAACGATTCAAGTCGAAGACGAAGACTTTTAGTTGGTCGTCAAGTCGATGGATTTTGATGCATTGGGTTCGTTGTTTATTATTAAAGACCATATAACGGTTTGATAATAAAAATAGGAGATTCATATCGACCTTAAGATGGAAAGTTTTGAGTCCTATATATCGATTTTGTAAAGCTGGTTTGATGGTTTTTCTTCGTGTAAAGATATCCCAATAAAGGCTCCTAAATCTTTTAGCATTTACGTCTATACTTGTGTAACTTATTTTCGGGGGTGGACCTATGAAGGCTCCAACAGATCCCGTGCATCCGCTCAACTGATATTTGAAAGTAGAATATTTTTTTAGGGTATGAAAGTTGCACACGCTAAATTTTGAAGAGTGCTTTAGGATAGTAGAAGTAGGATCTATAGGTAAGGACCTGTTTGTCAATTACTGAATGATTTGGTGCAGAATGATTAAGAGACTCTCATGATATAGTGCAAAATGAAATATAATTGTTTGGTAGGGCTCTTAATGGTTAAGGGAGATCCATGATACAAAATCATTCAGAGGGTTTTAGAACCATTAAGAGACAGACTCTTTTTTGCCAAACAAAATTCATCTCTTAACGATTCAGAGGTTGCCTCTTAATGGAACTATAGGTTGTTTGTTTACCTCTTAATAGTTCCATTAAGAGGTGAATCATGTTTGGCAAAAAAAAGTCTGCATTTAATGGTTCTAAAACTCTCTGAAGTCTCTCTTAACCATTCAATGCCCTAATTTCATTGTAAACAATTACCAGACAATTATATTTCATTTTACACTATATCATGAAAACCTCTTAATCATTCTGACCACTTAATCATCTTGTACCAAACCATTCAGCAACCGTCAAACAGTCCCTAAGAATATAAATTAAGACTAGTGTACAATTAGAAATAACACACATGTAAATACTGCAATAGTCATGATAAGCAGAAAAAAAAAAACTAAGGGGCCGTTTACCAAACGCTTACCCAAATAAGTGTTTACCAAGTCACATTACCTTACCAGATGAATATGACAAGAACCAAGAAGAGAACCCGGTAAGAGCGAGGCAAAGACCGAGTCTTATTCGGTAAGTGAGGACGACGACTCTTACCACGGTTAGCACTTACCGGGTAAATTTTTGCATCAAATGTTGTTTTGGTGGACTAAAATCTTATTAGATAAGAAAGTGATTGTGTTGAATTTTATCAGTAAATACTTACCGAATAAGTGTTTGGTAAATGACCCTAAAAATCTGGTAGCTTAACTATCACCTCACTACCAGAGTCTGCTATCTTGGTTGTATGTATTTAAAAAGGGTAAAAGTGACTTTTCACCTGTTCGACCCATTTCATTATTTAATTTTTAACTCATTGGATCAAAATGACCACCTATAAAACAATCAAAACTACTTGTAGTTACATATTTTACTTTGATAGTTCAACTATAAAAATTGTTATTAACGGCTTTTATAAATGGCATTCAGAGTTCAAAGTTTTTTGATGGTGTTTGTTTTTTAAGAGATGTTGAAGTCTGAAGTCTGAATTAGTTTACTTATGATTAGTAAGAGATGGTGCTTAAGTCTGAAATCTAAATTTATAATATTGTTTGTTTTTATAAACTGACAAACGTTTGAAGTTTTGAAATGTTTAAAACTTTACATCTTAGGTACCAAAATGAAAATTTTAAAAATACGTTACCCAAAATAAAAATAAGTTAAAGTACGTTACTTTTTTATATAATTTATTCTATGATTTTTAGTACATATCTTAAAGCAGAAATACGAATATTCCTTAGATTATAATAAATAAATAAATAAATGTAAAAAAACCTGAGTCACATAACTGCCTTTTAACCACCCTGCACTCCACCTCTCTCAAAACTCCCCTCCCATCATGTCCTCATTCTTCCCATTCCCCCAAACCCTAACGCTAACCCTAATTTCCATCCATGACTACCCCCAGATCCCCCTTTCAAACACTATCATCTTCTTCATTTTCCTCATCATCGTCTTCTCCATTCCAATTCACCCCCAAAACATCCCTCAAATTCCCATCAAAACCCTCCCAAATCCTCTGTTCACAAACCCCCAATCCCCGATCTCCACCAAAATCCATCACCTTCATCTCAATCCTTCGAACGATCCCAGATTGGGCCGACGGCATCAAGGAGAGGCGTATGAAACAGAGTAGGCCGCTTTACAAGCACGAAGACTGGGTTCGCCATAGAAGCTCTCTAAGACATATTAGGCATTTGCTTTCCAGCCTTAATTCCAGGGTGATTTTGTCTTTGGTGCCGCCGGTAATTGCGTTTACGTCAGTGGCTACGGTTGTAGCAAGTTACAACACGGCGGTTCTCTGGCATTTGTTGCCGGAGATTTTTCCGGTACTGAGAGCTTCTTCTTTACCGTACCAATTAACAGCACCGGCGTTGGCATTGTTGTTGGTTTTCAGAACGGAAGCTTCGTATTCGAGATTTGAGGAAGGGAGGAAGGCGTGGAGTAAGGTGATTTCTGGAACAAATGACTTTGCTAGGCAAGTGATTGTTAGTGTGGAGAAGGATTCTTCTTTGAAGACGGCACTTTTGCAGTATATTGTGGCATTTCCAGTCGCCCTTAAGGTTTGAAATTCTTCAGAAATGCTTTACTTTGATTTATATGAACATCAAAGTTGCTATGAAATTATGCCAACATCTTCTTTTTTGATATTTTTTCAAACTAAATTTACTTATATGTTCGATCAGAATCCTTGCAAGATCATGGATGATTCTTGATTTGGGTTTAACCATCAAAAGGAATTTAGGAAATTTGACCAAGTTCATCTCTCCAATGGGGCCGAATTTGATGTAATACTATTCATTTACATCATTCTTTTTTACTATTTTTCATAATTACAATTGCAGATTTGGTAAATTGAGATGAAAAATTGCATGAAAAAACAATGTACCTAGATTCCTATTTTGTGTAACGTACTTTGAAACCTTCCATTTTGGTACCTAAGATGTAAAGTTTTAAACATTTAATTATCCAGGTATTACCTGGTTGGAACATTAACCGGTTACCATGCTGATGTGGCGAGGGATGTGGTATCCAACCCAATATTATTTGCTATTCAACCCAGTTTCATCCTATCACTCGCCACATCAGCATGGTACCTGGTGGGTACTTAAATATTTAAAACTTTACATCTTAGTTAACCAAATGGAAGTTTTGAAATTACGTTACCTAAAATAGGAATCAAGTTAAATAAGTTATTTTTTCATGCAATTTGCCAATTGAAATTTATGTATTTGTTATTTTACAAGTGTCTAGAGTTTTAATAGTTTTTACTAGTTATCTATATTATATTATAAATTATATTGACCATTTGTGGGAAAAATATAGTAATTATAATGTTTTGGATTTATTTTTATGATGTAACTTTTATTATTTAATGAAATGTTTGTTTTATATAATAAAATAATTTAATTCATTACTAATAATAAAATTTATTAAGTTATTGTAAAAAATATGGGTACAATTTGTGAAGTTGATAAATATTAGGGCATTATTAAAAGTTTATATAATTATAGATAAAATGGAATATATTTAGAATATTATGTTTTGATGTTAAAAGTATGTTATTGAAGAAGAATAAGGAGCCATTCACTTACCCGGTAAACGCTTAACGGTAAAATTCAACGCTATCGCTTACTTACCTGATAAGATTTTAGTCTACCAAAACGACATCGTATGTAACAACTTACCCAGCAAGCGCTAACCGTGGTAAAAGTTGTCGCCATCACTTACCGGGTAAGATTCTTGGTCCTTGCCTTCGCTCTTACTGCGTAAGATTCTTGGAACTTGCCATATTCATCCGGTGAGGTAATGTGACTTGGTAAGCGCTTACCCAACTAAGCATATGGTAAATGGCCCCTTGCTATTTGCACCAAATTTTACATCAGTTTTTAATAATAATGGTGTAAGATTAGTGTTACACATTGGAATAAGTTTACATATAGATCTTCTTTAGTTTTTGATAATAATGGTATAAAAATTTACGATTTTTAAGGATGTAAAAATTTTCTTTAGTTTATTTATAAATCTTTGAATGCAGTGCCATTTGATTTACGAATCTGATATAGGAAGAGACCTTGAGGATCTACTTGATGATATTGATTTGGAAATAGTTTTGAGTTCAACTCATCGCCCACGATGCATCATCCAGTTCATCTCTCAAAGCATGCAGCTGCTCGATTTGGAAGAGCCTAAGCGAACTGTACTGGTAAATTTCTATCTGAGAAGCTATAGAATTGACACCAACCGGTGATTGGTCTAGTGGTATCTGGGTTACTTGACCTCAATAGAGGTCAAGGTTCAAATTGCCATATATATAATATATATATATATATATATATATATATTATATATATATATAGGGTTGGGTTCAGGGGGAAACTACAAAAAAATTGAAAACTAAGGAACACCCTAATAACCATTCATTTGTCGGGATGCACATGTGCATCAAAAGTGATTTGTCTGGTATGCACATGTGCATAGAAATAAGGAAAAATGAATAGTTATTAGGGTGTTCCTTAGTTTTTCATCTTTTTGTGGGTTTTCCCCGAACATATGTACAGTTCAAAAGTAAAGTTATAGATTTGACCTCAAAGTGAAACTCTCTGCATCGAATTGCAGGAATCAAAAGTTTCTTGTTTCCATGAAGGTATTGGTGTTTGTGAACAAATCATGGGCATACCGATCCCACTTTCGTATACTCGTTTGACCTCAAGATTTCTTGTGCTCTGGCATCTTACCCTTCCGATCATACTTTGGGATGATTGTAACTGGATCGTGGTTCCGGCTACATTTGTTAGTGCGGCTTCTTTGTTCTGCATCGAAGAGGTCTCTCTCTCTCTCTCTCTCTCTATGGCTATACTTCGACTTTTGAAGGTCAAAGACATGTTCTTAACTTTAGACTAGATTTGACTTACGAAAACAGCCACTCAGCTCGTTTGGGTAGAGGTCAGGATCTTATTCCCCATACCCCACCTGCGGATGAGATATATTGGGCTTGTTTGATTTAGACTAGATTTGACTTGTCAAGTTCAGGATTGTCACTCATGGAGTCTGTTTCTATATACAGTTTTTGTTATCCAAATTAGGAATTTTTTCCATTTGTTTTTCTTAGTTAAGTAACAGTTATTAAAATTTTTCTTATTTAATGTAATTAAGTTTCATAATTCCCTATTTTTACTCTTTTGACTGCTAATCTACTGATTTTGTAACATTTTTTGATGACGTTGATGTCAAGTTCATCGTCCACTTCATCATAACCCTCTCGTAAACATTTCATAAACGGGTTATCCACATCATCAACTGTTACAAGATCAGCAGATCGGTTAAAATGGGTACAAAATAGAAAATTTTGAAACTTTGTTATGTCGATTGAAAAAAAGAATTCTTCATTGCACTAAATAGGAACTAAATCAGACCTTGTTGCGTTTTGATTCATTTTTTTCCTAAATTTGCAGGTTGGAGTTCTGATCGAAGAGCCCTTCCAGATGCTTGCTCTAGACGAGCTCTGCAAGCTCGTTTACAACCACGTACAAGAAGCAATGAAGAGCGAGAAAAAGATTCGAGAAACTCTTAAAGCGAAAAAAGAGGCTGCTGCTGCTGCATCCATGAACCCTTCATCAAATGGTCACCCAACCGAACAGAATAATACTCGGCATTGCAGTTCGTCCTCGAGATAAGTCTTGACATGCTATTGATCCAAATCATTTTTCCTTTTGTTGGTCCACCTAGGGTGAGACCTGAGTCGAGTTTTCGTTTCTTTCACATGAAACAGGAATGAAAATGTCGAATGTTAAATGACCTAAACGAATAGCACCCCACATTTCGAATTACGGCCTGTTGTAGTTATAGATTCGTAGTATATGTATATATCCTAGGTATTTTTGATGATAAAACAATGAAAGTTGTCGAAAAAGGTACGGTTCTAGAAAGTTCATCTTCTACAAGTTTTTATACTCAGATTCAAGGTAAAACCGTAAAAAAATGAAAATATGAGGAACACTCTGGTAAGTGATAATCATTCATCTGGACGGTATGCACATGTGCATACAGGTAACTTGTAACAATTTGTCCGGTATGCACACGTGCATAAAAACCAAGAAACAACTTCTTGTATGCGCATATGCATACCATCTAGATGAATGGTTACCAGGGTATGAGGGGTTTCCTCTAAACCTCCCTCTATCTAGGTCATATAACCTTAAAGGAGATTTTAATTAAATCCAACACTTTCCCATGAATATGTAGCCATTTTTTCCTTCATGGAGTCAGGAGATCATGAATTTAATTAAAATCTCGTTTAACCTTAAATAAGAGATTTTGGAGTTTTTAGGGTTTTTTTTTGCCAACTTATCCCAAAACGGGGTCGGTGTAGAAAAAATTCTACAAACTTGAAGAATCTTTAAAAATCAAACGGACTAAGGGGCCGTTTACCTAAACACTTACCCGGTAAGCGTTTAACAGTAAATTTCAACTCTATCGCTTACTTATCCGGTAAGATTTTAGTGTACCAAACGACATTGTATGTAGTAATTTACCCGGTAAGCGCTAACCGTGGTAAGAGTCGTCGTCATCACTTACCGGGTAAGACTCTCGGTTCGTGATTTTGCTCTTATCTGGTAAGATTCTTAGTCCTTCTCATATTCATTCGGTAAGAGAATGTGACTTGATAAGTGTTTACCCGAGTAAAAATTTGGTAAACGGCCTCTAAGAAATATAATGATTTTTTTATTCTTCTCAAGAAAAAACTTTAGAACGTTTCAATAAATTAAATGGAGGGAGAGAGAGAGAGAGAATGTTTTGCTTTATATTATTGAATGTTTTGTTAATATAATTAAGGGCAAATTGTATGAAAAAATAACGCATGTTAACTTGAATTCTATTTTAGGTAATATACTTTCAAAACTTCAATTTTGGTACATAAGATGTAAAGTTTTAAATATTTAATTATCCGGATAACCGGTTGAAAACTAATTTTAGATTAAAAAAGATTATGTCACTAACCACGTCAACAAATAATACTGAGTTGGATACCACATCACTTGTCACATCAACATGATAATCGGTTAATGCTTCAACCAATTACTCGAGTACTTAAATGTTTAAAACTTTACATTTTAGGTACCAAAATGTAAGTTTTAAAGTATGTTACACAAAATAAAAAAGTTAAAGTATGTTACTTTTTCATACAATTTGTTCCTCTTTAAATGAATTTTTAAAATAATGAACAAGAACAAAGATCTCTAATTTAAATAATTCTTTTAAGATTTAATTTGGAAAAGGAAAATGATTTTTAAATTCCTTTCCACGGATGAAAATTGAATTTATTATTTTTATTTAAAAAAAATATATTGGACGATAAAAGTATGAAAAAATTAACGTTGAGATATTAAAAATAATGAACCTCTTAGATTTGGGTAGAGTCTTTTATGGACGAGACCGCTCGTTAGACCCTATTCGTCCCATCCACTAAAAAAGCAGGTTTGAACAACTATTTTATAACATATCAGACTGAGTTGTAAAAATTAATAGACGGACATGGATAATACGAACCAAATTTGGACAGGCTCGTTCGACCCATTAATATATTATAATCAACTTTTTCTGATCAACAATTATATTTTATAAATAAATTTAAAAGTTATAAGAATTAACACCTAAATATGGTGACTATTTAAAAAGAAAACTTAAAAACATAATTACAATGTTCCCAGTTCCCACTTATTTTACATATTTTATATAAATTTTGTGTAAGAATAAATTATATGAAAAAATAACGTATTTTAATTTGATTCATATTTTAGGTAATATATTTTTAAAATTTCTATTTTGATATCTAAGATGTAAAGTTTTAAACATTTAAGTACCCGAGTACTGGGTAATGGTAACCGGTTAATGTCTCAACCGGTTATCCAAATATTTAAATGTTTAAAACTTTACATTTTAGGTACCAAAATGAAAGTTTTGAAATATGTTACCCAAATTACTTTTTTATACAACTTTTCCTCCAACTAAATGATAAATCTCTCTATTTGTATAACTTTGGAATTAAATAAAATAACAACAAATAATTAAAATGTCAATTTAATTTATAATATAAAAAACTCCATGTCAACTCCATAAATCATTCATGACTCTTATTTAATTTCATATTTTAAAAAATAAATAAATAAACCCAATTTGAATGGCATGCACGTCTACCGTAAAACCCCATAACAGATATTCAAAGATGGGTTTCTTTCTTTGTTTAAGCACACCTACCCGACAGGCTCTTTATAAAGTTGGAATGTTGAGTTTATGCAGAAGCAGAAGGTGAAACAATCATTACTCTACAGAAATCATCATCGTCTTTTTGACTTTTAGCAACTGGGTTTGTCTTTTTTGATTCAGATGTTCTCGGATTTATGATCAGACAGTTGCAATTTCTTCGAAAATAAGTGTTGATGATGAGAATTGAAGAATTAGAAAGAGCGATAAGATGATTTGTTACGGACTTATGGTTATTAAGAGGGAATTGTTTCAAATTTCGAAAATTGATCAACGAAAAGGTGAAAAATCCCATAAAGGATTGAATCTATTTCTCTTTGGTGTTTATTATGAACGAATCTGTCGAACACTTATTATGCACTCCAACTGTTTGTTTTTATGCCAAGCCGAACTACAGACTGTATGTATGATTATGAACACTTATTGTGCACACCAACTGTTTGTTTTTATGCAGGACTGAACTTCAAACTTTTTGTATAAAAAGAGGTGCGGGAATGAAGAAATTAGAGGATTTAGAAGAGATATCTGATTTGGGTTTTGATTCATCACCAATTTCTTCAGTGGATCATGATCAATCACCCACAGTGGATTCATCTTGCAGTGTTAATTCTTTTGCTTACTATAGAACTAACTCAGAGACTTCAGCTTTTTCTGAGCTATTAACAGATGATTCTAATAGCTGTTCGTCGGAGATACAATCTCCGGTATGCTGGCCAGCCACTGGAAGATCACCTTTCCGGCCAGCCCTTTCGAGATTTGGACGAATCAGGCATAACCACAAGCTACAGAAGGACGATAAGCTCGATGATCAGAAACCTACCGATTTAGGTGAGTTTTTATTGCAATTCTATTAGTTTATTTACAACATTTTTTTACAAATTCTTCATGAAATAATGTTGCCTAATTTAAGTACTAATTAGAGATGCAAGAAAAAAGCCCAAGCCCGACCTGAAAAATCCCGGGCCTAGTGAGCCTGAAGCCCAATCAGGCAGAAATTTTGGGGTCAAGCTTGAAAAAGCACGACCTGGAAAACCCAGTTAAGCTCGAAAAAGCCCGATTGGTCCCTTTTTCAACCCAAAGCCCGCCTGTTCCAGGCCTGAGAAAGCCCAGGCCTTTTCTTTGCTCACTGATTAGGGCTTGGAAGTCCTAGGTCCACGCCTAACTTTTGTATCTCTATTGACTATTGTAAGTCTTCAGATTTCACCACATAAGTACTTTTACGGGCTTTTTTGAATTTATTGGTTATTTCATAAAAGTCCTTATAATCAAGTTACATTGCTGATTGAAAAGTAACAAAGATATAATGTAATCCCAAATTCAAAGATATTATATTAATAACTATATCGTTTTCTTTGTCAAGAATGATATGTGCTTAAATGGGACCCATTAAAGTCCTCTAAGACCGGTTAGGACCAACTTACACCAAATATGACCAATTAAAGTCTTCTAAGACCGATCATGACCCATTTAGACCAAATATGACTTATTAAAGCCCACCAAGACCGATTATGACCCACTTATGCCAAATATGATGCATTAAAGTCCACTAAGACCTATTATGGCCCACTTAGACCAAATATGACCCATTTAAAGCCATGATCGATTATGACCAACCGAGACGAAATATGTCCCATTAGAGCCCCTAAGACTGATTATGACCATCAAGCCAACCAAGACCGATTATGATTCATTTAGAGCAAATATTACCCGTTAAGGCTCACTATGATCGACCCCTTGCCTTACCGAGGTTCTTGCAAAAACTCCCCCTTATATCACATATAAACAAATCTTGAAAACGAATGATGAGTTATGCATTTTCCAGTTAAATATTGGGTGAAATTTTCTTTGAACAGAGCTTGAAATGACGAGAGAAAGATTTTCGAAGCTTTTGCTGGGGGAGGATATGTCTGGCAACGGTAAAGGAGTTTCAACCGCAGTTACCATCTCTAATGCTATAACAAACCTTTATGGTATGTACTTTTTTCCTCCAAGGTATTTATTTACCATAGCTAATTAACCTTGAAGGTTAGCTCAACTGACAAATAAGAGCATCTCCAACAGATTCTTCGAAACGGAGAAAATAGAGATTTTAGGTGTTTTTTTGCTCCAACAGATTCTTTAGAACTTTCTCCAAAATGGGGACAGTAGGAGAAAAGGAAATTTTCTACAAATGTAGAGAATTCCCTAAAAATGATTACCTATACGTGAAAAATAATATTTTATTATTTCCACCAATAAAAAGTCTTTGAAATTAAATATCTAGGAGAGAGAAATAATATTTTATTAAATAGATCAAAGATTTTAATATATAACTGATGTTATAATCTCTAAAATAGAGTATCGGTTGGAGATGAATGTAATATTTTTGGAGATTTTGATTTTTGACCCTCCTAAAATTTGGAGAATCTGTTGGAGATGCTCAATAGGCTAGGCACTAGTATTTTTTTTGCTGTTACCCCCTCTGTCTTAAGATAAAGAGTAAATTAAGTTTTTCATCCATGTGGCTTGTTAAAAATTGCGATTTTCGTCTGTGTGGTTTAGAAATTGCGGTTTTTGTCCCTATGGTTTGTAATTCGTTACTATTTTCGTTCTTATGATTTAAAATTTATAGTTATTTCAGTCCCTTTGGTTACAATTATTTACAGTTTTCGTCCCCTGTACTTAAACGTATGAATTAGTCCAGAGATAAAATAGCAATAAATTACAAACTATAGGGATGGAAATTGCAATTTCTAAACCATATGGACAAAAATCGAAATTGTTAACAAACCACATCAGTGTTAAAAAAGGCACGCCATGACGTGAGCCATGGCGTAATATGGCGCAAGACGTGTCTCCGCCGTTACGAAATGGCCCATGACGTTTCTGTAAGGTGTGGCTCACGCCATGGCGCCTTGAGACGTGCCGTAGCGCGCGTTTTTTATAAGACGTGCTTTTTTCAACAAAAAAAATTATTTTTTATATTTTTTGTGTTTTTACACTTTTAGCTTTAGATTTACATTTTTATAGATTTATCTAAGCACATCACTCACAGTTTCACAGATTCATAGATGTAATGGACTCACGATTAAAACGAAGTTATAAAATTACTTTTATAAGTTCTATTTTAAATATTTAATCAAAAACAATATTTATAATAATAATGTATATGATTTTTCTTCTTCTAATAATAATTATCTGATTAGATAATATATATATATATATATATATATATAACATATATGTAAATATATAGTTCTAAATATGACATATAAATTTGCCGCCTTATGTCACGCCTTGAAAAACGTCGTGTTCTCGCCGTGGCTTGTAAGGCTTGAGGCTTGACTACCCGGTGGTTGGACGAAAAATCTTAATTTACTCCAAAATAAATGTCCTTAATGAAAAAGGCACATAGTTTTGGGAATGTGTAATTATTTTACTTTTTAATTAACTAAATTGACAATTTTACCCATAAACACAAGAGAGTAACGAATTTCTTATTTCATAATCAAGGATAGAATTGGAAAATAGACACTTTTGAAATTGGACACTTATTTACCAAAGATAGAAACAAGGACATTTATTTTGGGACAGAGAGAGTATATTCAGGGTCCGTGGGATTAATTGAGGTGTGTGTGTAAGCTGGCCAGACACTCATGGTTAAAAAAAAAGATATATCTAATTCGTGCGTTGTTGTCTTTAATTGATGTTTTTTTTGTATATTTCAATCTTTGTACATTGTAGTTTCTATGTTTGGGCAGCACCAAAGGTTAGAACCATTGGATCCCGATAAGAAGACCATGTGGAAAAGGGAAATGACTTGCTTATTATCCGTATGTGATTACATTGTCGAATTCATCCCGGCTTCACGAAGATTAAAGAATGGAGCATCCGTGGAGGTACAGATTCTAAATACTTGGTTTTTTTATTGCAAACTAACCATCGTTCTTGTGAAAATGCTAAAAAAGGACACCGTAGTTTGCAAGAATGAGCAATCATGGATAAATTATGGGAACATAAACGTAGAAAAGAACCATGGTTTTGTTATTTTTTTTATCCAAAATCCTTCATTCTTGGTTTTGCATTTACGTTTTTAACGGTTTGTTTGATATTAACCTTTTGGGTAGCTCAACCGGTAAGACATTGGGATTGCTCCCCTGATGTCAACGTCACAAGAGGTTTGTGTAGCTGCTAACTTTAGGGCCCATGCAAACTGGGGCCTGGACACCCACAGCTATAAAAAGCAAAAGAAATTGTTCGAAATTGCTTGTTCTTGCAAATGATGGTGTTCTTTTTTCAAGAAAGCACTACAACAAAATTTAGGTTTATAGGACGCCAAAAATGATTAAGTGTCCCAATAGGCTGTTTTATAGGTTCAAATGATAAAGCGTCCTATCTAGAGAGTGGTGCAATAAGTTTATAGAACATTTTTGGGCATCTTAACAAGCTTTTTAGATTAATAATAGAACATCGTATTTGCTATTTTATAGGACATTATTTGAAGAGTTACCTTATAAAAACAAGTGTCCTATAAAAGGATATGTTTATAGGATACTTCTCAAAAGTGTCCTATAAAATAGCTAATAAACACTTTCTTTCTAAAATGTTCTAAATAAATTGTTAAGACGCGCAACAACGTCTTATAAACTTATTAGAAAACTCTTAGATACGACGCTTTGTTATTGGTCCTATAAACTTAAGTCCTATAAAACAATCTATTAGACATTGTTGGCGTCCCACAAACCCGATCTTGTTGTAGTGACAATCGTTACTTTGCAATAAAATCCGATACGTGATGGTACAAAAGTTTATCGTTCATGATTTTTATGCATCTTCCGTTTATGATGGGGTCTGTTTACGTCGTTTTCAGATGATGATTAGCCAGCCGAGGTCTGACATAGAGATCAACCTTCCCGCGCTAATTAAGCTCGATGCATTGCTCCTAGTAAGGCTATTTCTCGCTCTTCTTGAAAACACCTATTTAGTCGAAGGATTATTTTCCTCAATCGTTTTAACAAAGTTTCAAATTTTGACGAAGGGGACAATAAACTTGACATCCATGTCATCAAATGCTACAAGATCATCACGTTACTGGTCAAAATTGGTTAAAAAGATAGGAAATTCTGAAACTTGGTTACGCTAAATATAAATTTGTAACTTTGTTATATAGATTGAGAGAAAAAAGTTAGTTACGCTAAATAGGAACTATGGTTGTTTGGTTGGTTTTCCATTAAATCTTGTATGGATAAAGTTGTTGTGTGAATTAATATGTCTGTATAGATTGAGAAAGTTTTTGTTGGAAGGTTTTTTTCCATAGATGGAACGAGTGTGGTTTTTAATTGGATGGGACAGGTTTGGAAAAAAACTTGACTTTCTGCATAAAGCTTTCCTCTAGAAACTGAATAATCCACTTTCTATATCATTAAGCCACTACCAAACAATCATGTATAACCGACCGAATAAGCTACGAGTCCCATTAAGCCCATTAAGCTGCTAACAAACATGTCCTAAGACAAGCTAGTTGCAATTTGATGCATTTTGCTACTAAAAATCAATCACCGACTCCTTTAAACCGTATCCTCTGTTTCTTTGTAGGAAACATTGGAGAGTTTCCAAGAAACGGAATTTTGGTATGAGGAACAAGGAAGCATGTTGGGAAACTCACGTACCGGATCATTCCGGAAAGTTCCTCAGCCTCAGAGAAAAGAAGAGAAATGGTGGCTGCCACGGCCTTGTGTTTCCACTGGCGGCCTTTCGGACACCGCCAAGAAGCATTTGAGACAAAAGCGTGACTCGGCAAATCAAATACACAAAGCCGCAATGGCTATCAACAGTAGCATTCTTTCCGATATGGAAATCCCGCGTACGTATACCGCTTCCCTTCCTAAGGTTCGGCTCTCATTCGACACTTTTTTGTAGTAATTAATTTCGAACGGTCATACTTGTCTTTTTGTCGTAGTCGGCTAGCAGATTCTGCTTTCCATCTATATGCTCAAAGTGGATTTTAACTCCAGTGCCTGTAACATCATCTTCAAATTTCATCTACCTAACCCTTGATGACTTGTTGCTATTGGTTTTATTATGAAAACTTAGTAAACCAACCATAATAGTTACTAAAATACCTGAACATCTATACTTATATTATAGAACATTTAGGTAAAAGTCTTAAAAACAACTTATTAAGCTGTTTAGTAATGCAGAAACCAGATCAAACCAAACAAACCCAGTATATCCCATCAGAATGTAGGGTTTAGGGTGGGTAAGATGTGCATAAACCTTACCTCGGTCCCACGAGACAGAGAGGTTTCCGAGAATACCATCGGCATGCATAAAGCTCCCCCGTAGAAGCTTACTGGATAAGACACTTTTTATATTATTACGTCGCATGGTAGTTGAGAAATAAGTTGTGAGTCTCATTAAGCTCATTAAGCTGCTAACAAATAAGCTGTAATTACTACATAACTTCTGAATATTTTTGTAAGTTGTGTTTTTGCAATTGAAGTTTTTTCTGAAGCTTTTTTCTTTGTTTTCAGAGTGGAAGAACAAGTGTAGGAGATAAAATATACAAATACATGACTTCCACAAACACATTCTCCCCTGAATACCTTCTTGATTGTCTCAACATAAGTTCGGAATACGAAGCGCTCGAATTAGCCGATGGTATAGAGGCCTCGATGTTCACATGGCGGCAAAAAGCGTGCTTGAACTATCCGAAATCATCATGGGAGATGATTAAAGAACACTCGGAGGACGACAAGAACGTGGTGCTAGCCGAAAGAGCCGATATTTTGTTGTTCAGCTTAAAACGACAGTTCCCCGGACTAGCGCAAACGACACTGGACACGAGCAAGATCCAGTACAATAAAGTAAGTTTTTGAAACTTGTCGCATGTTGGTTTAGAGATGGTATACTTGCACAAATAGATGCAAGTCGAGTTTAGCAACTCCAGTGTCAGAGTTACAATTCTTTTGGGGACTCTGGATCCTTGTGGGCCCCAAGCACAGTTGGTTTTGGGTGGTATAAGAGTTCGAGTCTAACAATCCCGATGTGAGAGTTAGAACTTTTTGTGGATTGGGCTAAAGGGCACCGGTCTTTTAAGCCCCACCACCTGGAGGGCCATTGTTATACTACCTGATTTGTCTATCACATGATGCTCTTGGGATAAAGATGGCCAAAATGGGCCTGACCCGCCCGGGACCAGTTACGCTTTTTATGAAAATTCAAGGCCCGACCCTAGACTGGTTATACATAGGCCCGATTTAAAAAAGATTAAGTTTTTATAAATTATATATCAAGTTTTTCAAGATTTCTACAAGATTTTTAGGGTTTTTTTTTTATATCAAAACTTCAATCTTTTAAAGTTTTTAAGTGTTCCAATACTAAATTTCAAAAATTGTAATTATATAAATATTTATAATTTTTTTGTGTGAAAAAGATTTAAAGTGTATTTGAATGACCCAATTAGAGATTTCAAAGTGTATTTCAATGAGATTTATACAAAAAGAAAAATCTTCAAACAAGATTTTTTATATGTTTAAAATTGAATTTTAGGAAGAAAAAAAAAGTTGAGACCGATTTGGGCCCAACCCAGGACCGGGACCAATTCTAGGGACCGAGTTTTATACATGGAGAATGGGGCAGGTATTTTTGGTCGAAATCGGGACCAGGACCGGTTACAAAAGGAAAATCATGGATCGGGATTGATTTGGGCCTGGTCAGGGCCGATTTTTTACCATCTCTACTTGGGGATGGGTGCTATGGTCTATAACTCAAGGTTGTCGGTTACAAAGCTTGTTTTGCACAAACATTTAAATGAACATGAAATGTTGATTTTTCGCAAATCTTTGTCTAAAATCCCGCATTTTACAACTTCAGTGTTTCTTTCTACAAGAACAATGATTCATTTGCAATTAAAAGTCAAGCACGATGAGTTGACACACTTCTGTTCAAAACATTTAGTACTTGTAAACTGTAGCGTTTTTAACCCTTTTTTCTTACAAAAACAAATTTTCCGATGAACAGTCAACTACATGTACAATGGTTTAAAAAGTCAACCATCCCGATATTTTAACACTTCAACTTTGAATTGTAGGATGTGGGACAAGCCATATTGGAAAGCTACTCAAGGGTTTTGGAAGGTTTGGCCTTCAATATTGTTAGTTGGATTGAAGATGTTTTGTTTGTAGATAAATCCATAAGAAACCAAGAACTTGGAACTTCTTCTTTGATTAACTGATACGGTCGTTGAGTCTGTTCCTCGTTACTCATCAGTTCGTGTCTTCTTAGGATCATCAGAGGTTTGTTCGGTTGTTAATTTCGGAGCTCCATATGATTATCGAGGTATAGTTTGCTCCCCATTGGTCATCGTTCTAGTCTTTTTAGGGCCACTCGAGATTTGTCTGGCTATTAACTTCAGAGCTTCATGGGATTTCGAGATGTAGTTTGCTCCTCATTAGTCATCAGTTCTAGTCTTTTTAGGCCACTGGAGATTTGTCTGACTGTTAACTTCAGAGCCCTACAAAATGATCATTTTGCTCCACATTAGTCATCAATTCTACTCTTTTTAGGGCCACTAGAGATTGGAGATCTGTTTGAGTTGAAAATCTCATTGGATTATCGAGATGCACATAAACTGGCCCAAAAACTCATGGTTATTATAAAAATATAAAACTACTTCTTGTAGCAACCATTAACAAAGCCATTATATCTTGATAGGCTACAACTTGCCTTCATGCTTGAATGACTTGTACTTGATGCATTACAAGTTGTACATTATATCTATATCTAATATATATGGATTGGAACTTTTTTTCATCATACATCAGTCAATGAACCACTTCTAAGCCTTAAAGGAGTAATGGGTTTCTTTGATGATGGTGTTGGAAAGGACTTGAGAGCTTCAATCTTTACTTTGCATTTCTCATAGTCCCCTTTGTTTTCTTCCAAGCATTTCTTTAAAGCTTCATTGACATCACCTCCTCCTCCGCCGCCACCATTGCTGCCGCCGCTGCTACCGCCACCACCATTCTTTACCTTCTCTGAACCACCATCGACACCTTCCATTCTTGCCCCAAACTAAGGAACCCCAAAATGGTTGGGAACAAGGAATCAAGAAATCTTTATATGTTTCCTCTTTTAGACACCCTGAAAACGAATCAAAATCAAGAATTGTGATTATGGGTTCCTCAAAAAGAATATAGAATCATCAAAAAATCAAGAATTTGGAACATGGGTTCTCAAAAGATTTTGGGATTCATACCAAAATTCAATTTGAAACATTGGTTTTCACAAGAAAACTAGAACTCATATTTGAAGAGTAACAAAAACACCATTTGGGATCATTGATTTCCCCCAAAAAGATTGCAATTTGTTACTAAAAATCATGAACTTTGGACATTTTTTCTCAAAAGATTTAGAATTCATACAAAAAAAATCAAGAATTTGAAGTAATTGCTTCCCAAGAAAAGTAAAGTCATCTTTAGAAATGGCATTTGGGACCATCTATATTCCAAAAAGAAGTTACAATTTTGTATTAAAAAAGCATTCAATGCAATGGGGTTTCTGAAAACATATAGAAGAATTGTTTCTTAAGAACACAAAAATAATTACATCCGCCATCAGTTTAACCACAAGGGTGGCGTCTGATTGTTTTGAACTTAGGCTCCAAAGGTCAAAAGTGCCGGGAGGTCACAAGTTCAAATCGAAGGAGGAATAAAAAGCTTTTGTTGATACGGAGATTCAAATGCGATGACTAGGTGGTCGGCCTACGATTAATCTCGCATAGCGGATTAGATATCCAGGTTAATAAAAAAACAATTTACAGAAATTGTGTTAAAATTCAAGAAGTGGGAGCATTTTGTCACAAAAACAAGAAACTACATATCAAAATTTGCAACAAAAAATGCAAGTGAAAATCAAGAAATTTTCTTGAAATTGTTTTGAAATGAAAATTGGGAACAAAGGGTATTCATGGAAAGATTTTTTATTCATTTATAAGTTTCCTAAAAGACAAATGAAAAAACAAGAAACTACAACGCTTCATTGGCCGAAAGATATTTTCGTAAACAGAAAACTCTCGGTATTCATTCATGAACTATCTGTCAGATATCTCGATTCAATTGCAACTGAAATTCAACAACGACCACCAATGATTTCTCTTGGAATTCTTCTGAAACCAAAATTGGGAACAAAAGGGTTTTTCAAGAAACAATTTCATTTTATTTTTATTAATTTTCCCAAATAAGAAATTGAAAAAAACAAAAAACTCTCATTCATAAATTCCAATACAAATTCAAGCAAAAGTAAGAAGATTTTCTTGAAATTCTTCTTGAAATCAAAATTGGGGAAAAGGGTTTTTCAAGAAACCATTTGTTCATAATTTTCCCAAACAACAAATGGAATTAAAATCCATAAATTGCAAAAAGAAAGCAAATGAAAAATCAAGAAATGGTATCTCTTTGAAATCAAGATTGGAGAAACGGGTTTTTCAGCGTTAAGAACGTACGCTGGTTTTAAGAACGAGTGATTGTCTGTTCATGATTCCCGAACAACAAATTGAATATATCGCAACAAAAATACAAACGAAAGATCAAGAACAACAATCAAATGATACCTCTTGAAATTCTTATGAGTTGATAATAGGGGAAAAAAGGGTTTTTCAAGAAGCAATTTCATTCATAATTTTGCTGAAAAATGGAAGAGGACTTACCCAACAATGAGTCATTGTATTTACACACAGAAAGAAAGAAAGAAAGAAAGAAAGAGAGATATAGGATTTATGTTTATAGATGAAGAGTAAATTACAGTTTTCATCCCTATAGTTTGTTAAAAATTATGATTTTCGTTCTTGTGATTTAGATATTATAGTTTTTGTCCTTATAATTTGTAAATCATTGTTGTTTTTGTTTTTATAATTTATAAATTATTATTGTTTCAGTCTTTGTGGTTTACAATTCTTTACTATTTTGGTCCCTTGTACTTAAAAATGTATGAATTAGTTTAGAAACGAAAATAACAATAAATTACAAACCATAAGGATGAAAATCTCAATATATAAACTATAGGGACGAAAATTGTAATTTTTAATAAAAAATAGGGACGAAAAATTTAATTTACTCATAGATGACTGAATGGAAGCTGCATTTTTCAACTGCTCCGCTCCAAAGAGGAGTGACGATGAATTTTTGTCGTTTTACTAAGAATATGTTGTGGTGGAGCGGGGCCTACCGTAACTCCCCCTGTGACTACTCCTTGCTGAAGTATTTCATGACTTGACTTGATTGATCAATTGATGGATTGGACGGACGGATGGCCACTCTAAATCATCATAGGAAAGGTAAAAAAAATTCTTAGAAAAAGGTGAAAAAGTTAGTTTATTTCTTTTAAAAAAAATTAATTAAAATAGTGGTTTTCAATTATTTGAATCGGAGTTTTTTGTTTACCTTTTAATAGTTTTTATTAAGAGGTAGTCTCTGAATCGTTAAGAGGTGAATCTTGTTTGACAAAAAAAATTCTTTTTAATTGTTTTAAAACCCTCTGAATGATTTTATATTTTGGGTCTCCCTTAATCATTCAGTGCTCTAATTTTATTATAAACAATTATCAAATAATTATATTTCATTTTGCACTATATGATGAGAGTATATTAATCATTCTGACGACTTAATCATTCTGTACCAAATCATTCGACAACCGTCAAACTAAAGATGGCCAAACGTAACCGGCCCGGCCCGTAACTGACGGAGGCCCGGAACCGAGCCCGGCTCAAGACCGTAACCGACCGGGACCGGTGGTAACCGGTTATGGACCGGCGGTTACAAACCGGTTATTGTTTTTTAGAAAATCTTGGACCGGAACCGGTTACGAAACCGGTTATGGGCCCGGCCCGGTCCAGTCAATGCAAAAAGTCAAAACGTATTTATAAAGTGTATTCTTAAATGTATATAACAAAACGTATCTATAAAGTTAAACATATATAACAAAACGTATTTATAAAATTAAACCGTATTTTTAAAGTGTATTCTTAAATGTATATAACAAAACGTATTTATAAAATTAAACGTATATAACAAAACGTATTTATAAAATTAAAACGTATATATATATATATATATAATATATAACAAAACGTATTTATAATAAAACATATTTATAATAAAACATATTAAAAATAACATATTTCAAAGATATTAATAACATATTATAAATTTATTAATTACCAAAAAGATATAAAAAAGTAAAAAAAAAAAAAATTCAAAGGACCGGCCGTAACCGGTTATGGGACCGGAACCGGGACCGGCCGGCTTAACCGGTTATGGGAAAGCTTGACCGGTTATAGAGTTTTTCATCGGGACCGGAACCGGGACCGGTTATAGAGGGACCGGTTATGAGCGGTTTTTGTCGCGATTAGGACCGGCCGTAACCGGTTAAGGCCCGGCCCGGGACCTATTTTTGGCCATCTCTACGTCAAACAGCCCCTTATTCTCTCTTAATATTTTAAAAATTTTACTACTTTTGCAAGTGAAAGCTCTTCAACTTGCGAATGGATCAAAGTGAAAGAAAAAGTTTTTGAACTAATTATGTACATGTGGGGATCAAATATGTAAATTAGATATAAGTGTTGGGACTAATTTACAGATATGGTCCTTATAATTGCGGACCTGGTTCAAAAACTTATTCTTTTTTTTAACTTTGGCCTCTTTGCAAATTGAAGAGTTGTGGTAGTTACATTTTTAAAATACAGGAAGAGAAATGGTTAAAAGATGAAATCAAAGCTTAAAAATGACTATTTTAAATAATTTTCAAAAAAAAAAATCAATATAATACTAAAAATAAAAAACTATAGAAAAATTGTATTAAACTCCAACAACTACTCTATTTTAATAATTTTATCATTAACTATATATTTAATATATTTAATAAAATAATATTTGTCTCCCCTAAACACTTACTTTCAATGTCTCATATGGTTGAATTCCGATGAAAAAGGGAAGTTATTGAGAGGAATGTAAGAAGAGATCTACACCTTTGGTTTACTTTTAATTGAATGTCAACAATAATTAGGTGTACCGAGATGCACCAGATCAATTACCTTATAAAATGTAATTCATGGGTGGATGTGGGATTAAAAGTGATCAAGGGCTCAGATTTCTTCTTACACTTCTCACTATGAGTTCCTTTCTCTCAGTTACATATGAAGTTATAGCATAGCTGTTGAGAAAAAAATATACCATAAATCTCCAATTTTATCATTTTAGCATAGCTGTTGAAGATACTTTTATAAATAAAAAGTGTAGTGTCTTTCAAGAACTACCATTGGAGAAAGTTCTTATAAGAGCATCCGTGGTCATAAACCTGTTTAGAGGTTCATGACTTTGTCAGATCAGTTTTTATTCTCTACCACATCAGTCGTTCAAGAATTACCATTAAGAAAGTTTTTATAGGAGCATCCATGGTCATGAACCTGTTTAGAAGTTCATGATTTTGTCAGATCAGTTTTTATTCTCGGCTACATCCGTTTCTCTTTCCTGCACATTTCATAAACCTTTCATCTTCAATCATGAACAGATTCATAGTTTATATGATAAAGAATTATTATAATAAAAATTAAATAATAAAATTATTTAATTAAATTACAATAAATTAAATGATAATTACTAAAATCTACAACAAATTAGAAAAATAAATTTAAACAAAACAAAACAGAAATTCTAATTTTATTTATTAATTATTATGAAAGGGGGCCCCACCATTTATGAACGAAGAAACAGTTCGTAAAGAGGAACAGATTCCTTCTACTTGGTTGTCTATTGGTCCTATTTTAAAGGCTAAGTTTATCCAGTCATATTATCTTACTAAATAAATAAATATGATAAGGATTAAGAATCTTATTCGATAAGAGTGAGACATAAAATAAGAGTCTTACTCGATAAGTGAAAGCGACGACTCTTGCCACGGTAAGAACTTATTGGATAAATTATTGCATATTGTATTGTTTTTGTGGACTAAAGTCTTACCCGATAAGTAAGTAATAATGTTGAATTTTATCGTTAAACACTTATCAGGTAAGTTTTCTGTAAACGACCCCTTAGTATGTTCTAAAATAATTGTTCAATTTGTAATAGTAATTTTATAGGAGTCCAAATAATTGTCCATGTTTTTATCTCATTTTGTCATAAAATCAATATACTTTTTAAAGAAATATGTTTCTGCTTTCAAATTATACCAGTAAATGTCCATTACGTTGTGTTTAATGCAGGGATATGATTGGACTAAACTAAATTAGTGGTTTCTATGGTATTCAGTGCAAATAATATAGGATTTCACGAGTTGTTTATATAGTAATCTGGTCAATTGAACATGACAGAACAAATTTGGAAACGTCCGAATCAATTTTCAAGTGGGGTTTATTGTTTTTTATATCATATTATGGTTTCAAATGAAATAAATGTCTAAATAAATATAATTAGGCAAAATGTGCGAAACTTTTACAAATTTTCTTATTATAGTGTTGTACTTTCAGTTTTTCTTATTACAGCAATATACTTTCAATAAATATTTTTTATTAGGGCATCGTACTTTCAAAAACTTACTCGTTATAACATTGAGTAACCTTTTAAATTTAATTTACCCATTATATCAAGTTTCTTTTCTTACTCACCTTATCGTCCACGTAGGTTGTTCACATGTACGATAGTGCTGACATGACATTTATTACTATAACATTATACTTTCAAAATTACTTTATTATAACATCATCAATTTCTATTACAGCATTGTACCTTTAATTTTAATAGTTTTTATCATTTAAACATTGTAAATTTAATCAAATATGTTTACTAAAAATTATAATATCAGAAATTAAACATGTTCACAAAAGATCATTATTTCACGAATAAAAATATTTATAAAATATCATTCTTTCATCGAGCTCTTCGTAAATTTCATGGTTTACTTTGTAATGCCTAAACAAGTGGAACATCTTTTCAAAAAGAAAAAACTCATCCTATTCACGTTCGTCTAACAATACCATACCCGATAGGTGTGTCCAATATATTAGAAGATGGTACGATAGTGGATTCATAATTTAGTCTAAGGGGCCGTTTACCAAACGCTTATCCAGGTAAGTGCTTACCAAGTCATGTTACCTCACCAGATGAATATGATAAGAACCAAGAATCTTACCCGGTAAGAAGGATACAAGGACCAAGACCGGTAAGTGAGGACGACAACTCCTACCACGGTAAGCGCTTACCGGGTAAATTATTTCATACGATTATCATTTTGATGGACTAAAATTTTACCCGGTAAGTAAATGATAAAAGTTAAATTTTACCAATAAACATTTACCGGATAAGTATTTGATAAACGACCCCTAATATGTTTTTGTCATTAATAATGCTTCTTGTGTTGTTTTGTGCAATTCATTTCGCACCAATTTTTGCAATATTTCACCGATTTTCAATTAAAGGAATAACAAGCAATGTCATTGTTTTTTTAATAACCAACCATTAATCACATCCGTAGAATCATCGACTATTTATTAGATACCTATCGGGTAAAGCGTATACAGGCAAAAATCATCATCCTCACTTACCTTTTCAGATAAATTCCCAGCCATCAAAATTAAATATTGGTACATCTATATAGATTTGTAGGTATATATCTATAGGGTCAGGTTCAAGGGAAAATTGTAAAAAAATGAACCAAAAATCACCCTAATAACCATCCATTTGTATGGTATGCACATATACATACAAGTAATTTATAAGTATTTTTTGCATAAAAAGCAGGAAACATCTGTAATTACTTGTATGGACATGTGTACACGGTATACATAAACAGTTACTACGAGAGGCTTTCCCTTGAAACTCACTCTATATCTATATACAACAAGTACTCACGCATTTTTCGTCTTTAGTAAGGCTCGATCCCTTAATTGGCAAGAAAACAGAGATCTATCAGTAACCCAGATACCGTTAGGTTTCGGTAACATCGATCCATCTTCACAAAATTATAAAGCATCAAGAAAAGCAAAAAAAAAAAAAAAGCATGTAGAGCAGAAAAAGTCAAATCCAAAGCAAGGTACAACTTTGACTACATGAGATACAAGTCTCTATAAGTTTATTACTCTAAGATTCAACCATAATTCTAACTTCTTCCCCATGAGCAAACAATAATACACAAATTTTGTGATTAAAAGAGCTTCTTTCAGCTCAAGAATCCTAAAAACAGACCACTTTTAGACATATTTGCTCACTAGGATGGTGAAAAACCAAATGGACATCCCTCCCTCCTATATATACAACAAATCTCCGAACCATTCGGTCCAGAAACCGACTGAGCCACTATGGTTCAACGGGTTAGTCATTGATCGAGCCAAAAGGAAATGTGTGTTTGTTATAGATCCCCCCGACTACCCATGCCCTCAAAAAGAATATGATCAAACCCCAAAACTTTGCTCATTGCCGGGGGGCAGGGGGAGGCTGCCCCCGACCCCAAAATGTTAAAAACAATTACCTGAAGCCGGGGTTTGACTTTGACTTTCACTTTGGTTTTGACTTTGACTTTTGGTAACGAAACAAACAGGTTTGTAATCAGCTGTCGTCATCTATGGCACCGATATAAGTCAGATCCATCCTCCTCACCCTTACTGCACCTTTGAGCCAGCTCGACGCCTTCAGATTAGCGTGATCACTTCCTGCGATTGCGGCTGCATTAATGGAAGACGGGCCGGATCCAGCTCCATCTTCTAAAAGGGTCCATGGATCGATCTCCATATCGGAATCAGGTTGTGAAGAGAAGACGGGCTTTGTGGCTTTTCCAGGCCCGTTTGAGGTGGTGCGTGATGGATTAGATCGAAGATGTGGGCCAGGAACTGATATGGTAGGAGGCTGAAGAGAACTGATGGCCGAAAGGGGGACAGACGGCGGCTGGCAAGAGATCGAGAATCTAACGGAAGGGAAAACAAATGGCATTGCGGTCTGAATCCGCCATCGGATTGTGTCAGGTAGTTGCATGCCGTCCAACTCATTCTGCACCATTTTAGCAATACATTAAGATACCGTCAATGTTCAACACCTAGAAAATATGCAAATACACCGAAAGATTTTGGGATGTTCCAAAATAAATGCAACTATTATCATCATTACAAACAAGTTAATAGTACTGATTTGATACATGAGGGTGTGTTTGATACGTTGGATATAACATAACGGAATAGAATCACTGTTCCATGTTTGGCAGGACTTCTGTGTGGAACAGACAAGAACACAGTGGAACAGACCTGTCCCACCCCCACCCCATGGAACAAGATGAAACAGACCCATCTTTTACCGATATAACCTCAAAATAAAACATAGTTCTCTTCTAAAACATCAAATACCTCTCCCTCGTTACATTTAATTCATTCTTTAAATTTTATTTATTGTATTTTATGCACTATAAACTTTCAATAAACCATACTCAAATATTATTTTTATACATTTATATATTTTGATCAATTTATGTAATTCCTTAAATATTAATAATAAAAAACAATATATAAAATATACAAACAAAAAAGTGGAAATTAGAAACCATATAAGCTTTTTATTTTGGTGTCATTATAATCGTCTTGATGAAAACTTCCTAATGAAATATTTTGTTATAAAAAATACTTATATAATTATAATTTAAAAAAATTTACATAAATTAATCAAGATATAAAATATATAAACAACCCATTGGGGGTAAATTTGTCATTTTATCGGTTCTATCTTGTACATTTCTATCTTACCAAATGTTCGAACAGTTGTTCTGTCCCATCTACCTGATTTACTAAAGATGCACAAGGTCAGGGCCTTCCGAGTCTCCCTTTAGTAAGCAAAAAAAAAGCCCGGACGAGAAGGGACTCGACAGCACAGCACAGCATAGACAAAAGTGAAGCAGGCAAAATTGTGCATGATTTTAGGGTTTTAAGTTGACATTGGTAGTTTAGTAATGCCCCAACCTTGTCTCATCTACCTGATTTTTGTTCCACCTACATTGCGCATTTTTTGTCCCACTCAGTCCTGACCTGTCCCGGTCTAAAGTCACACAAAACGTGGAACTAGAGATGCACGAGGCCTGGGCCTTCCAAGTCTGTTATTAGCAAGCAAAAAAGAGCGTGAACCAGACTTTGGGTGTAAAGATGGGCCTGATCGGGCTTTTCGGGCTGCGTATGAACAAAGTGACACAGTGGCTGATCTAGAGATCTATTATCCTAGAACAATAATCTAGTCGGACCTACGTTAATAAAAAGGATAACTAGGATGACAAACAGTCGACAAATCAATACACAAATGCCTGTAAAGAGACTTTGGGGCCGTTTGGTTGGTTTCCCATTAAGTTATGTATGAATAAAGTTGTCTGTGTGGATTGATCTTTCTGTATGAATTGGTTAGGTTTTTATTTGGGAGGGTTTTTTTATAGATGGAAGGAGCGTGTTTTTCAATAGGAAGGGGCATGTTCGGAAAAAACTTGGCTTTCTGCATAAAACTCCCCCTAGAAGCTTACCGAATAAGCCACTTTCTATATCATTAAGCCACTACCAAACAGTCGTCTACAGCTGACCGAATAAGTTGCGAGTCCCATCAAACTTATTAAGCTGCTAACAGGCCCTAAAATTCACACAACCTAAGGGTCATATAGATGCACCAATACCATTGGACCAAAGGCACATAGTTTTATACATGTGTAATTACTACACTTTTATTTAATTAAATGACAATTTTACCCTCAAGAATAAAGGGAGTAATGAATTTCTCCATCTCATAAGAGTAAAATCGCAACGAAAGTGGACATCGAGTATAAATTAACCTCTTACCTCCCATCAAGAACGAAATCATTTAAATTGAAGTTAATAAGATTCATACCTGCAAGCTTTCTGCAACTTCACGATCATATAGAGTCGAGTCCCTTGTTCCTTCGGCGGTGGACTTTGACGGAAACTTTGACCTCAGCCAGTATGGCTGGCTGCTGCTCAAAAGGGCGTGTAGCACCAATAATAGACGATCAAAAAGACTTTCACCCAGATCAACGGTAGCAGAAGACTCGATCATAGACTCCACCTCTCTCTTGACGGAAAATCTTGAAGCCGGGTTAGAAAGATCAGCATCCTCATTGACAACCCTACTTCCAAGAAGACGAAGAACCACTGAAGCAAGCATGTGCCTCATGTTACGGACAGATGACTCCCTAACAAACCAAATATGGGAAGAGATACAAATTATGTAAGTACCAAGAAGCATTTTGCAAATTGATGAATTTAACTGCTCCCTTCGTCCCAAAAAAAATGCCCACTACGAAAAAGACAGTTTTAGAAAAGTGTAATTATTACACTCTTAACTAAATGACAGTTTTACCCTCGATATTAGAGGGAGTAAGTAATTTTTCCATATTATAATTAAATGTAGAACTGGAAAGTAAGTACTTGCTTTTGAAAATCGGCACTTATTTTAAGACAAAGTAAAATAGAAATATGAACACTTATATTGGGGTATGCCAGCCCTCAGTTAGAATGATCTATTTTACAGATATATAGAACAAGAGGGAAGTTCAGATGAGAATGATAGATATTTTGAGAAGCTGGGAAGGGAGAACCAACTATTTCATGTATTATTCATCATGAATAAACTGGATAATCATGTATATTCATTATGAATAATTTTCATCATGACTAGTTGGTTCCAAGGTTCTCAAAAAATTTACGGTTCTCATTTGAACTTGCCCCTAAAGAACAAGAAGTTATTCATTATGAATATCAGCATACTTACCCATCAGCACAGATTACAGGGAGCAGTCTTAGGAGTAGCTGCAGACGCAACGACATCGAAGCACGCAATGCCGAAGGGGAAGGCAGCATCAATTCAACTGGGGTAGCGGGACGTCTGGCTAATCCAGGACTACCGCCTCTCATACCCTTGCGGGTGTTCACTTTGCTCACTGGACCTTCGATTCCCGAAGCAACAGTTCCCGCCTGTTTAGCTCCTCCATGAGTAACCGTACTTATCTGCTGTTCTATTTCATTCATCTGTTTAATCAAATCACTAGCAAAGGTAATACGTGAGTCATCAGAACTCTGGTCGATGCACGGAAGAAGTAATTCCACCAACGCTTTCTCGGTTACATGCTGTTGACCGACTATGAAGGCTTCAACATCCGAAACTGGGGTGAATGTTCTAGAATGTCGTTTTGAGTCGGTTCCATCATCAACTACTTCACCTTCTTCAAGGGATGCCATCTCGAATTTCCGCTTAATCCCCTTTCTTGCAGGACCTTCTGAAGATGGAATACACCACCCCCATGGTTTCCAAAATTGAGTCTTAGTTGACAGACCTTTGCTCTCAGCAATATTAATCAACCGTTGCCGAATGGATTTTCGACCGAAAAGAACATCGTGGCCTCTGAGGAACCATTTTGCCTGCAACAACACTTCATCCTCTAGTGACCTCCCTAAAAGGTGCACCACCTCCGAGAAGAGAGGAGCAGCATCTGGTCTGACCAGTAGTCTCGTTAGAACCATCTGAATGAAGTTATTTTCATTCTCGGAGGTACCCCCGTTGTCGTTATTTGGGGAAAACGATCTTAAAGCTTCGGCCAAGGAAATGTCGCGGGAATCTACTTTTTCTATTACGGCTTGCTCGTTCAATAATAGTCTGAGCTCGACCCATTGCCAATGAAATTTTGCAGGCTGCAAAGTGTCCAGAATATGTACAAGCTTATCAAGAAGCTTTGTTTCGTTTTCCACATGAAGGGCCTTTAACTCGGAATGCCCAGATGCCCAATTCCCGTCATCCTGGTTAACAATTTCAAGCGGCAATTGGCAATCGATAATGGCATTTAGAAAGATTCTGGCACGTAATGGTACAAAAGCCGTAAGTTTTGAATGGGGATCTGGTCCATTCAAGTCCAGCATCATTGCAAACTCAGAGTCGGTAGAATCTGCAGCCACGATATCATATAAGGTAGCACATTCTCTGAGACACACGTCACGGAAAGGTAAATGCTTTATGGCATCGCCGATAGCCAGTGTTAAAGATTGAAACAACTGAGGAATGTTGTCACGGGGTACAACACTGGCATTAAGAATGAATCGCCTCCATACCAGAAATCCAAAAATAGCAAAGGCCGGTGGAAAGACGAGGTTAATAGGAAGCATCCGTTGGATTCTTGACAGAGCTACAATGGAAGATTCGCCCAAAAGCTCCACGATAAATCCTTCAGAAACACTTCTACAGTTTCCAACAAGGACTCTAAACCAATGAACCGAAACTTCAACCAAGCTATCCATCTTTAAATCCCCTATAGACCGTACATTCCCATTTGAGTTCGACCTTGTGCTCCTTACATACTGAATCACGTTTAGCCCTTCTTTTAATCTGAAAACTGTTACCATCCTTTCAAGACTAGCGATACCCTGGAGAACAGCCCCAACAACAAGAGCTGATATTGCACCGGTTGTTTTGGCGGCCTTAGAAAACGTCGTCTTTCCAGCACTGTTTGGATTATCAATTGCATTGGAATCACGGGATTCAGGGGAAAGTTGTAATTGACCACGAGAAGCCTTTGCTGGGGAGAAAACTTGAGCAAGAGCAGAAGAAGCTTCTGTTGCAAGAGCTATCTCAAATACCCGGCTTTGACGTTCGCCAAGTGCATCTTTTAGTAAAGACAGGGATGTAAGATGAATCCGCAAGATCTGTTTCGCAAAGTTCAAGCTTGAAGCAGTGGTATTGGCGGTTATATCTGGAATTTTAGCGATCACCTGGCCAACATTACTAACAATTGCAGAAACAGCAAACGCCACCAAAGTGGGGTCGCCTTCTTGGGCGGCACCACCAGTTTGTCTCATGCAATCCAATAGCCCTTTGACCACCTGCTGAGCTATCTGGTACCCATCATCAGATTTTTCAACGGTGCCTCTTTTCATCGAGCCACCTGCAAAAGACTTCTTATCTTGGCCATAGAAAGATGGAATGGCCTCATCAACAAGTCTTTGGACGGTATCCCTCATGCCCAAACCAACCCTGGATATACGAACACCGCTTATCTTTTGACGTAAGAACTCATCAAAATCTTGAACTCCTGCAGGAACGCCAAGTGGGAAACCAAATTCCCCATCTGACGATCTTCCAGATTCAAGTTCCATAACGAGTCTTTTATCAGATGTCGACTTGAAATTCTTCACCCATTCAACAACACTCACCACATGCCCATACTTCTTTAACATCTGACGAGAGAAGACTAAAGCTGCTGAACCAGAAACCCTTCCATTGGAGGCCATAACTACCGAAGCACGATGCATCATGGCGGACAATGTTTCAGGAATAAGATCAGCTGCAGCAAGTATGTTCTCATACCTGAACCAAAATATTTAACATCAAGATGACAATGTGAAAGAGTAGTTGTCATTGAGTATCCTCCTATATATCATCAAAATCAACATTTACACCATTCATCAAAAGGGGGAAGGGGAAAGGTGTACAATATATCCTAATCCTAATAACCGAGTCTTCATACAGATTGATTTTGCACACAAAAAAGGTATGTAGTGTAAGGATTTGTTAAAGAGAAAAAAAACATACAACTAGAACAAATAGATTAGAGAAGTTCATGTCTTCTGCCCAATTACCAAATTGGTGAAAGAATTCCTTACATGAAATCCAAGAAAGAAGAGAGGCAAAAAGAAAGATGCAGAACCAAACCTTGTATTGCAAGCCCAATGGGATACTCAAGTTTCTTTCTTTTTCTCTTTTCATATGACTTGGGGGATGTTTGGTTGGTTTTCCAATAAGTCCTATATGGATAAAGTTGTCTGTATGAATTAATATGTTTGTATAGATTGGAAAGGTTTTTGTTTGGGAGGGTTTTTTCATAGGTGGAATGAGCATGTTCTTTAATTGGGAAGGGCGGGGTTGGAAAAACTTGGTTTTCTGCATAAAGCTCCCCACTAGAAGCTTACTGAATAAGCCACTTTCTATACCAATAAGACACTACCAAACAGTCATCATAGCTGACTGAGTAAGCTGTGAGTCCCATTAAGCTCATTAAGCTGCTAACAGACCTTATTTAAGAAATTACCATCTACATGTATCATTACTGTTTTAACAATTACGTAAAAGTCAGAAAAAGTAACAAACACCCAAGACTGAGAAGACAGATCCAATATAGCTGCTCTCAATTTTCAAAACACCAAGAAATTTACCCCACAACGGATCCATGGAGAAAAAAGAATGCCACATAAAATGAAGTGAAACTTGTAAAATCCATGATAAGCTTTGCAGTAGTCAACAATTGTTAAAATAGAACAATAAATGAAAAAATAGCATAAAAACGAGTGGACATGCAGACACCAGATCATGCAAATGTAACACAAGCAGAGACAGATAGAAATAATTATTGTAATTGTAAAGAGTGAGAGAGAACCTTCTGAGAGATGATAAAATATATGCTTCCGCAACAGCACACAATTGATTTTCAACATTCCTTGGTACAATCATAACGTTCCTCCCACCATGAACTGTAGGAATGGGGTTGATAGGAACCTTAGGCAACAACCAAACAAGAAACCTGGCTGCATTAACTAAATCATCACAAACATCCATCAAGTATAATATAGTGGATAATTCATCTTCACCAAGCTTCCATCTAGCCAAGCCCCTATCATCAACAGGAGGGAAACTCCTCCCATACTGGCCAACTTTTGGGACAGTCTCGGTGATTTTTCCAGCCTCGTCAACAAGCTGTTTCACAATACCCATCAACCACACCACAATGGCCCTCTTCTCATCTAATGGCATCCGCTTTAGAATTTTTCCAATTGAAGAAATGTCTCCAGAATGGGATGTTTTAACGGAATCCGTTGTCTTAGGAACATCATTATCGCTACCATTTCTGTGGTGAGGACAGCTTACTCTACTATCGCATACATGACTAGTGGATGCTCCCTGGCTACCTTCGATCCTGGCAGCTGCTAACTGAGCAAGACTTTGAGTTTTGCGCACAATTTTTTGTCTCCCTCTTGAGGCTTGCTTCACGGGTTTAATAGGTGGATCAGCTCTAAAAGATTCCAAGGATTTGAGACCCTTTCTAACCCACCAAATGTCCTCATCATCAGATAGATTTAATGATTGCCCCTGAAGGTATGGACTCTTTTCTTCAATTACCTTTTGTCTCTTAGCTCTCCTGCATTCTTCACATCCAGGTGTTCCTTCACCAGGATCGCTTCTAATAACCATTGGCCCAATGGGCCTTTTAACGGCCTGAGACTCATCAAAACCATTCCCAGCAGTGGTAGAATTGGAGTTTGGGAAGTGAAGCAGCACCGAAATAGAAGTCATTAGTTCTTCAAGTTTTGAAGTTCTATTGACATTTTTGCTGGACAAGGAATCAGATGCTGGAGATGGTATCTTCCACTGATCCCTAGAGGGTGCTAAAGAGCCATCTTTACCAAACTTTTGATGGTTCTTTTGCTTCTGCAAGGAGCTATTTGCAATGATGATATTTTTTGGATGGTCAAGAAGTTCATGAAGCAAGAGACGCCGTTCATTCGAGTATATATGCATGGCTTCAGAGATAAGGGACACTTCGGCAATTTGTGCTTCCTCCAGTGCATCTTGAATATATGGACCAGGAAGATGCTTTAGGAGTTTATAGTGTCTCCTCCTCCTGTCCATATCAACCATGGAGTCATTCTTACCCATGATTCCACTAACAATAAGCTCCCTCACATATGCTTGAGGATAAAAAATGCCAGATCGAATAAGTTCAGTTATGAGTAGCTGAACACGCTTAAAACCTTCTCCATTTTGGGTTTGGTGTTGATCAAGCCAACACACAATGATATCATGTAAAGGGCCTGGACTCTGAAAGAATTGCGACAGATCTTTGATTTTTTTATGGGCAACTTTCGACTTGCTTTCAACTTCAATATTATTTGCCAGACCATGATGTTTCATAGAGACATCAACCGCAGACGTTCTGCCACTTTTGCGTGAACTTCGCATGTTTCTCATTTTCATCTCTAAAAGTCGAGTAGCAACATATATCTGAGAAAAGTCTCTTTTCCCACTGAACTTAACACCATGAGGGGGGCTAGTGCGAAAATCCCTGAAGTCACATGTTGCCCACTCACAAACAAAAAATATGGAACACACAAATGAAGATCTCATTGCACCAAGCCATTTAAGAGAAGACCGTAGATACGAGCTGACCTCTGCTATCCACCTTTTATCAACGGCTTCATCACAGAAATCCTCAAACATACACTTGTAGGCAATAGTAATATCTCCATGTATAAGAGCTCTATCTAATTCATTTGCGGCTTTTGCCACATTATGACCTGGATGGCCAGGACTTGCAGCCCTTGCAAGATTGACTGCACATTTCTGAATTGAAGAAACTACGGAATCAATGGACAAAGAACGGCCCTGAACCTCAAGCCCTTTATCATTCAGCATACAAGCAGCTTCTAATGAACCACCTTTTAACTTCCCACCTTCCCCACTTACCCTTGTTATTAAACTACCATCATTTGCTGCACTTGAAACCACACAAGATGGCAGAGGAAAACAATTCAAGGCAACAAAAGTATCAGGCACAGCAAGTATTAAATATCGAAGAATCTCAACCATAGCAGAGATAGTGTATGCTCTCCTAGAGTTATCCACAAGATCTGAACCGCCTGGAGAAGGTTCCTGGATAAAACGAACAGCTATTCCCACAAGTGTACGGACATAATTCTGAGATAAGACAATGGTTTCTATAACACCATATATGATGGGCAACAGCAATTGCAATATCCCAAGTAACTCCTTCTCCTGCAAGTGACACAAACAATATTTTTTAGAAGAGCGCGATGAAGAGGCATCAACATTTGTTTTATCCAGCTCCTTATATCAAGATCTTTGTGATTAAATAATGCCTTAAAGATTACCTGCAACTGATTCAGAACCCAATCGATGATTAAAGAAGGCAGAAGCAACCCCTCAGCATGGTGCCACTGTATGATTCTCACCACATACCACCATTTGAAGTGTAAGGATGGCTCCTCACCATCAACAAGTGCCATAACCGAATCACTCTTGTGCTGCATTGACCCAGCATAAGCGAACTGGGGTGATCGGTCCTTAGAGTGCATGGTAGAATGAGAATTGTTTTTTGAGACAAATTCATCCAGGAGATACTGTAAGTACTCGATAACATCTTTTGTCCACTGGTCTGAGCGGGAAAAACGAGTTTTGTCAAGTGATCCAGAAGAAGTACTGGAAGACCCCGGCCGAACCTGCAAGATAAAATCATGATATGCTACATTCCATGAAACAAAAGGCCAAGAATGGCCACAACAATGACCCAAGATGACACAAGTGAAATGGCCTGTACCAGATTAAGATATGTTACTTTGATAAACCAAGTTGCCCTCAGTAGTGGTACATTGTTTCTGATAAGAACTTCAAAAGGTGATTTCCTTCTATAACCTTGAGGAACGTGATCGGCCAATGACCGCAAACGTTTATGCTGTTGGGACAAGCCCTGTATGATAAGGCTCAAAAGTATCAAACAACCAGATCATAGTTCGTATCATGCACATAACTTTAATTTCTGTAGCATAAAAGAGCTTCTATGGAAGTGAAAATAAATGTTGCTGGTGATGTCTCATAAAAACAACGAAATCTAACCAGACAATAACTATATATATGCTATCATTGTTTGTTTCAAATCTTCAAATTTTACGTCAGGGAGGCATGAGCAATTTGTTAGATTGTTCCTAAGAAGCATACTACTTGCCATCTTTCCCTTTTATGAAAAAATTAAATGTGCTTGATTTCCATCAATTGTTACTCTTTGATAACACAACATAACACAGGCATCCTCATAGCGATTTATGAGTAAGCACACTGAGGAAAGTTGTGGCATATCCAAGGGTTGAAGTTCAGTCACATCTTCCATAGAATAGACAATGTCCCAAAGATGTATTTTTTATTGCACCTTTTAACAGATATAAGAGCAATAATGAGTTGCAATCTGCATGAAGGAGAAACAACGATGACAAAACTTGAACAAAAACTGAAAAATATGAAGATAAAATGTCCAAGTAACATAAAAGTAATCATCAGATGAAAGAACTGGTTCAGATGGTTTAAAATGCACAAATGTAAGCACTAACTAAGATGGTTAATATACTTCATATTAAAACTGAAAGACAAACCTCGATCCATTTCTTCCGAAAATCTTCTCCAGTGGCTTTCTGTTCTGGAAAAACACCAGACTTACTCAACAAATTACCAGCAAGAGGGACTCCATAAACTTGACCAGCCTGTAAGATAAACATATACTTCAGCATTTAATTTAACATTACACATGGATACATAAAAAACAAAAATAGTTACATTACTCCAACGTGTGCACACAGACAACCAAATAGACAAATTCAAGCCAATAATAACAGTCAGAGGACCCACCCATGAATGACAACACCAGGATGAGAGGGTTTTACTAGGTTACAACGTTATGCAATATAAGTTCCAATATATACCAAATTTGGAAGCAAAATACCTTGCGTTTCTGAGCACGGGATTCATTTATTGCTCGGTGATATTTTCTGATTGCCTGCAAAAAGAATTATTATCAAAGTATCAGACTAATGTGTAAAGATGCACCAACAGAATAACATCACAGTTATAATAGATTTACCTCCTTGCATTTTATGATAACAGGCTTTGTGAAAGTTGGAATCTGTGATAAAGTTATCTCTCTGGACTCCTGCAAGACAAAGTTAAAAATGTTAATACTTTGGCAATAGAGATGAAAGTATAGATTATAAAATAAGGATAGCATCACTAACAGATTAACATGCAAAGAGAGGTAAATAACATGGAACTGATAGATCAAAAATCCATTGTATTGACTTGGCATACAGTTGAAGGTGATCTGAAAGATCTTGTTATGAATTGAAGTTTTCCAATTCCTTCCCTAATGGAATGAGAATTCGAATGATTGGAAGCAGGCACTGTTGCTAACTACTCAAGCAAAACTAGAAAATTTTAAATTCAGTATGAAAAGTGGATCTTTTTTTATCCAAATAAGAAAGTGAACAATTACTCCAAAAAGAATTGATACAGAAACACCAAATGTTTTTCAAAAAAAAGGGCAGTGAGGGCAGGTAGTAGAAAATAATGCATCTCTAAAATGAAGTATCGAACATGTGCATGAAAATGATCGACTCATTTACTACCGGCCCTCACATATATGTATAACACATACTATTACACGCTTTGCATGACTCAAACCACATTCCGTTAAAGCAGCTTAAAATATATATATATATATATATATATAACTGAAACAATGTAGTTTTCAGAACTTGTTGCTAAGCGAAATAATGCACGATTATTAATTCCCTAAATTGCATCAAACAAGACTCAAGATATCCCTAACTATGGGTTTAAATTATGAATCATTTCCTTTAACATTCTAACAGCCTAGTCAAATTCATAAGAACAGTTGAGATGATCCTGAGCATTAAGAGTTCGAGTTGCAGATCACAGCGAGAGCTACCCCATTACACCGTAATGCAAAGGAGCTTACAAGAATCATAAGCAGTTAAACACTTCCCTTTTCAACCATTCTTAATGAAAGGACATACCAGAACAGTATGCTATGACTATGATCATTACAAAAACAGTACAAAGACATTCTTTTAAAATGCTAATTGGTGAATAACTTGAAACAGTTTGTTTAATGCACACGCTTCATACCTCAAGCCCCTCAACTGTCTCTCTGTATCCGCCCAGCACATAGTCCTTTGTAAGTGTCTCCTCTGGGCAATTTGTAGTCGGGGGGTGAAAGTCAGGTGGTGGAAGCCTGACAACAGAAGAAGAGATGTGTCAAAAATAGTTAAAAGTACAATAGTGATACAAAGGAAAACCTCTCTTCATAAAATATTACAATCAATGAGATATAATTCTTGTGGACACGACACACTTAATAGGATGCATATTGCAGAAATGAAAGAATAGGATGCATACCAAAATGAAAGATAAAACCAAATCCAAGTTTTTTATTTGATTACAGAAATTACCTTGAATTCAGGGGATCTTTCTCACACCTCAACTTGTATGGTGCAAGCTGTGAAGGGCGCCTGGACAACAAAAACAAAATTATGTCATTTCAATAAGTTTCCCATGAGGAACTGTCAAACCAGATACAGAAAGGGCAATTGGAAAGTAAGCATGATACAGAAGATACAATTGTCATTGTAATTGTAAGGTTGGGTAGCAGAAGTGAAACATATATTGCATAAATGTTGAGATGACAGATGAAAGAGAAACACATACCGATTTAAAGGAAAGTTAGCTGGAAGGGCAGAAGACTCGGCTCGGGAAGTATCCCTGCCTAATGAGCCACCAACTGCACTGTTATTGACTGCACTAGTGCAGTTGGTAGCATGATACCTTTGCATTTCTCCAGACTATGACCCGCATACTGTATCCCACATTGAGTAACTGCAGATTGCCATGTTAAAGAAACTACATTAGATACTGCAATGAGGTACATATTATGGTCAAATCACATAAACCTACAGTATTATATTAGTTCAGTGAAATGCAACATGTGAAACCTAGTTTTCAATATCCATTAACAACCTCAAGTACGAGAGCCTATAACTATCAGAGGCAGATATTCAGGAAGACCTTCAAGAAACGTTAAAAATTCCAATATTTATCAAGCATCTTTCTGTAATGCATTACATCAACATAAAAGACAGGTGTGAATAATACATGTTTCTACGTGCCACCTTCATTGGAGACTTGAGATTCAGGAAGAATTGGCAAGTAAGGGTAAGAGTCTATAAATAAAATAACCAAAAGTACTCAGAACATGGACTAACAGCAATTGTATCTAGCACCTTTCAATAGTAAAAAAACTTGATTTGGGAGGAAATCACAATTTTGTAACACTGATAGAATCTAAGCGGTCACAATACGCATATGATACAGCTCAAGATGATATTTAATTTCTCAAATCGTATAGATAGGATGGGAAAGTTAAGTATGTGAATAATACGTATGCTTGGTAATTTATTTGTTGCAAAGTTATTTTCAGAAGTATTGACGATGATTACTTGTTAAATGACACATAGGCACAAAATGGAAACTTTTAAAGTTCCATAAATACCATGTTTTGCATCATGAAATCCAAGACTCGTTGCTGGTTTTTAAAAGATGACACGTTGTTGGGATTACTAAGGGAAGGTGTTTCAATCAATGAACTGAAAGCAATTGCTGGATACACCTGAACACCGAACATGTTGTTCATTTAACAACTTAATTACGGTTCCGCTTTGCTGCATCTCACATAATGCCAAATAAATGCATATAGTACTTACCAAGTATCAACAACTATTACTTGTTAAATTACACATAAGCACAGTGTAGAATTTCTTTAAAGTTCCATAAATAGCATATTATTCATGCTCCGTCACTAAATTTTGCATCATGAAATGCAAGGCTAATTGCTAATTTAAAGGATGATATGTTGAAGCGATTACTAAGGGAAGGCGTTTCAGTCAATGACAGAAAGTATAGTTAGATACCCATGATCACCAAACATGTTGCTTATTTAACAACTTAAGTTACGTTCCACTTTGCTGCATTCATGTAATGATACACTAGGTTGAGTTTTCTGAAGGAAAAAAACTGGACTTAAACATCAGCTCCTGCAAACTTTTCCTCTCCGTGCCTCGAGATACGGAAAAGAGGAAAGAAGGAAAAAAATTAAAAAAAAAATACAAAGGAGGAAATAGTAAAGAAAAACCAACATGAGAACTAAAACCTCCAACGTAACAATTCCGACGCTGAAAATCTTTTAATTCTTAAGCCCATCATGTGGACCCGAATTCGAATCTTTTTAATGAACTTGACATACATATGAAGAGACAACAAACTTCAAAATGTAGCTGCTTTTCAAATACAACCTAGGGCTAGGTTAAGCTACTGACAATCATAAAACCAGACAGTTAATTTCAACTCAATGACTACTATTCTATCATCATCCGATCAAATACTGTAGCATCATAGGTTATACCGGTACCCAAGTTTAGAAATTGTTTCATCAGACAAACAACAAAGTCTGCCCTAACATTTAGCCTATGTTATAGGCACAATTTCAATCAGCAAAAAGAAATAGATTTGGAACAATATCATTTCAAAGATGAGCACATACCTTGAACGACATTATATCTTCAAAGAAAGAAACCTACTCACAAGAATTTTCGTCACTTAAATTAAGCACAAAAAACCATTTACAGATTCTCTTCATTCCTACTACACAGAGTTTCGAAGTGCATAGTCACTGATTGGCACAAAAAACATTAACTGATCGATTAGATCATGGTGATCTTCAATTTTTTCGTGATACACTATCAAGTATGAACAATTTCAGACTTCATCCAGTTTCCCCAAACTCTGAAGTGTACTAAAAAAAAATCAGCTCATATATACCAGAACATTAGAAATAACTAAATTAAATGCCCACGAATCTTACTTGATTAAACTCATAAAACCACGAAATCAAAATAACCAATTCGGTGGCAACACACCCATAAAAAATCCATAACATGGCTGCAAAATTAAGCATACCTTTGAAATCAAACAGAAGCTTTACGAAAAAAACCCCAAATCAAGTTCGAAACATGCAAAACCCAGTTGTTGGTAGTTCGAGAAACGGAAACTAGGGTTTCTGAGGGCTGTCAGTGAAACTAGGGTTTTGAAGCCCAAGAACAAGAAATCAACAAGGCTAAAGTGTACGATGCGAATTACAGATACCAAATATGTAGGTATATATGTATAATCGAATAAAAATGTCGAAGAGATTAGGGATTTGAAATTTGAGAATGACGAATCGTGTGTATATAGAGATATATTAGATACAGAAAGAGAGAGAGAGAGAGATTGGGGCTTTTGACCCTTTTTCTTTTTTTCATTTTCTATTTTTCATTTCTGATGACGACGACGAAACTAAAGGGGCGAAAACTGTAAGATTTTTATAGATGAGGGGGTGATTTGTAAAATCCTAGAGTTGATTAATCCTTTCTACGAGGATAATAATGCATGTTTAATGGGTTTTTTTTGGATGGTTTTACCAAAAGGTCCTCTATGGAATGGGTGGAATTAAGTAGTGAATGGAGGGTAAAGTCGTCATTTTGTATCTTGTCTGTATTTTGACTTTTGAGGGGCCAAAGTGTAACAACATACATAGATAAAGGCCAAAGGTGGTCAAACCAATACAAAAACTAGTCAAACTAATAAATGTAATGGTTATTCAGTAAAAATATTTTTATCATTTCCTTAAAATTCTTTTTTCAATAAAAACCTTTTTCCTTTTTATGCCGACTTTATCTGATTGGTTTAGTTTGATTTTATCTGATTCGGTTCAGTTTGGTTAGATATACTGAGTTTGTATGGTTTGTAACTGTAAGAAGGTGTTTCGTTCAGTCAGATGAATGAAAATGAGAATGAATTTTCATTCCCTCCAGTTTAGTCTAAAATCAAAATTTAGGCTTCTGAGAGAATGAGTTCATTATATTATATAAAACCAAACAGTTTCTTTTATTTTCATTTCCATTGATTGCTGCCTAATGTTTTCATGCAAGACTATCGTTCTTGAATTTGTAACCCTAAATAAATGTTTATACACAAAATATAAGAGGACAAATATCCCATGCAATATCAAGCGGGAATATCATGCACATAACGTATGTAATTGTATAATCCCATGTTTAGAGGGACTCTCTTACCAGTGAAGGTGGGTGTCCATTAACGATCGTTTTTGGCTCGACTCCGGTAGCGTAATTGCGGGAGAAGCCGGTAGTTGGGCACTGGATCCCTTTGGACTAGGAAAACGTATGATGTTGATCAGGGTTTGGTGAACCAACAGGTCGCTCCTTTGGTTACACCTTCGGAATAACCCAAGGGATTTTCTGTACTCCCATGTATATACAGTTTTATAGAAAGCGTAAACAAATACCAGATATAATTTGTTGTTACGTTTTTTATTTTGTGCTTTTCAAACATTTGCATGGCATGCAGTTTAGCTGTTTTGTTAGTGTCGATTTGTGGATATCTATGAAACATATAGTTACAAGCGGTTAATAATACGTAGTATAACAAAACTGAGCTATATATGTAGTTATTAATATATGATAAAATCTTGAACATATGGCACGATCTTGATTGGATTATGCGCTATGAGTTGGCACATCGATAACAGTGATGCATGGCGTGGATTATCAACGTCGTAACGCACTTTCAAGTTTGTGTACAAATACCAAGCAAGGAGATTATGCTGACAAATGATCGAAGATATGCATACCATCAAAATTGATAATGCTTTTGCTACATCAAGAATCAACATTAGATTCCAGTGACATAATGGATCACAAAAGATCGAACATTTGATTGCCCCAGGGCTCGTAAAACATAGAATCGAAGATGTACAGATAACGGATCACAAGAGATCGAACATTTGATTGCCCCAGGGCTTGTAAAATATAGAATCGAAGATGTACAGTACATACCGGCATTTTACAAGATTAAGGGGTCGTTTACCTAAATGCTTACCCGGTAAGCGTTTACCTTTACGAGTTAACATTGTAATTTATTTTACCGGGTAAGATTGTAGTACATCAAAATGATATCGTATGCAACCATTTATAAGCGTTTACCCGGGTAAGAGTCATCACATTTACTTACTGAGTAAGACTCTTCATCTTTATCATTGCTCTTACTATGTAAGATTTTTAATTCTTACCATGTTCATCCGGTAAGAAAAATTACCCAGTAAGCACTTATTGGATAAATGTTTAGTAAACGGCCCCTAAGACGTTTGTTAAACATTTTCATTTCGGGAAATAAATCAAAGACATTTATTGAATTACTAAAAGAGCCCTCAAACTTAAGAAACGACAACTATCACCCTTTGACCTTTTGAAATGACCAAAAGCCCTAAACTTTAAGGCAAATTAGTGTTGTGTTCTTCAACTTTTTCAGGTACCACAAAAGTGACCCTTGAACTTTACAAAATTGGCATAATCGGTACCTAGATTTTTCAAAACATATTCAAGATGGAAAAACGTTAGTATAAATTAATGTATATTCTTTCATAAACTATTTTATTATTAACTATATATTATTTTAAAATTTATTAATTAAAATTTTATTATTTATATATTTTTATGCATA